TTAACAAAGACGTAGGGGAAAAGGGGTCCATGTGGCTTGAGGTGAGAGACGAGTGCAAAGATTTCATGATGTGCAGGCTTTTGTGAAAGAGGTGTTTCTAGAGATTCATGAATAACAGTGACTTGCACGCGCTTAGCAGGGTTAGGAGAAGGAGCTAAAGGGGGACCATGGGTTTTGAGTTGAGTGCCTCTCAGCAAGTCCAAGTGTGCGGAAGCATGTTCCGATGTCTGTAAATTCCTGTTCAGTTGTCTGTCAATTTTTAGCAGTAATTTGATGTATTATTTTAGCTCAGTGAAAGTTGATCTTGTGCATTAGAACTTTGGTGTATGAGTCAAAATGCTCCCAACATGTTATTTGCCACAAAGCTGATAGAATTTCGAGCTGCGAAGTGTGTCGCAATTGCAAGGACGGCAATTGTGTAGTGCCTTGTGATGATGCTGATTCGACTGTGTGTCGAGAGACTTATTGCCTGGGGCTGAGTCTCTGATCAGTTATCATATATCGGTTAGGGTGACCCGAGGTGACAGCATGTAACCGAGGAGGAGAATCTGTCTTGGGTGACGACGCGAGGAGGCATAAGAGGATCACCAGGGAAACAAGACAATAGTTTATGAGAAGGCTATCGGTGACCCTAGGAGTGGGGCCATAGGCCGAAAGAGTATGTTGTGGACTCACCCTGAGTCGAGGTGTTCCCTTTCATGTGACACCGCCTTGGTAGCTTATTAAAGTGTATAGATGGAGCATTAGACGGACAGTCGTCCATTATCACCATTTCATGTTCATCGTCCTGTTGTGTTGCGTCCAAATAAACAGGCAGAAGCAAGAGTAAAGAAATGAATCTGCAAGTTTTGTTGATGTGGTCGGCTGTGGACTGTTCTCAGGTTTAGTAGTATGTTGTGACTCTGAGAGCTGTGTTAACTTAGTACTTCCAGGTAGGGAGCCCCATTAGTTGCCACGAGGTGTGCTTAGGGGGAACTTCCGTATATAAGTAAGGCATAATCAGTCACCTACCTTGTAGACACCTGATCAGCGTGCGATGCCTTTGAATAATGTTACAAGTGTGTAATAGATTGGCATCGATAATCGTGCGATGCCTCTGAATAATGTTACAAGTGTGTAATAGACTGGCATCAATAATCGTGCGATGCCTCTGAATAATGTTACAAGTGTGTAATAGACTGGCATCAATAATCGTGCGATGCCTCTGAATAATGTTACAAGTGTGTAATAGATTGGCATCAATAATCGTGCGATGCCTCTGAATAATGTTACAAGTGTGTAATAGATTGGCATCGATAATCGTGCGATGCCTCTGAATAATGTTACAAGTGTGTAATAGATTGGCATCAATAATCGTGCGATGCCTCTGAATAATGTTACAAGTGTGTAATAGACTGGCATCAATAATCGTGCGATGCCTCTGAATAATGTTACAAGTGTGTAATAGATTGGCATCGATAATCGTGCGATGCCTCTGAATAATGTTACAAGTGTGTAATAGACTGGCATCAATAATCGTGCGATGCCTCTGAATAATGTTACAAGTGTGTAATAGACTGGCATCAATAATCGTGCGATGCCTCTGAATAATGTTACAAGTGTGTAATAGAATAGATAATCGGCATCTGAATAATCGTAGACTGGCATCAATAATTCGTGCGATGCCTCCTGAATAATGTTACAAGTGTGTAATAGACTGGCATCAATAATCGTGCGATGCCTCTGAATAATGTTACAAGTGTGTAATAGACTGGCATCAATAATCGTGCGATGCCTCTGAATAATGTTACAAGTGTGTAATAGACTGGCATCAATAATCGTGCGATGCCTCTGAATAATGTTACAAGTGTGTAATAGACTGGCATCAATAATCGTGCGATGCCTCTGAATAATGTTACAAGTGTGTAATAGATTGGCATCAATAATCGTGCGATGCCTCTGAATAATGTTACAAGTGTGTAATAGACTGGCATCAATAATCGTGCGATGCCTCTGAAATGTTAAGTGTGTAATAGACTGGCATCAATAATCGTGCGATGTAATACAAGTGTGTAATAGACTGGCATCAATAATCGTGCGATGCCTCTGAATAATGTTACAAGTGTGTAATAGACTGGCATCAATAATCGTGCGATGCCTCTGAATAATGTTACAAGTGTGTAATAGACTGGCATCAATAATCGTGCGATGCCTCTGAATAATGTTACAAGTGTGTAATAGACTGGCATCGATAATCGTGCGATGCCTCTGAATAATGTTACAAGTGTGTAATAGACTGGCATCGATAATCGTGCGATGCCTCTGAATAATGTTACAAGTGTGTAATAGACTGGCATCGATAATCGTGCGATGCCTCTGAATAATGTTACAAGTGTGTAATAGATTGGCATCAATAATCGTGCGATGCCTCTGAATAATGTTACAAGTGTGTAATAGACTGGCATCAATAATCGTGCGATGCCTCTGAATAATGTTACAAGTGTGTAATAGACTGGCATCAATAATCGTGCGATGCCTCTGAATAATGTTACAAGTGTGTAATAGACTGGCATCAATAATCGTGCAATGCCTCTGAATAATGTTACAAGTGTGTAATAGACTGGCATCAATAATCGTGCGATGCCTCTGAATAATGTTACAAGTGTGTAATAGACTGGCATCAATAATCGTGCGATGCCTCTGAATAATGTTACAAGTGTGTAATAGACTGGCATCAATAATCGTGCGATGCCTCTGAATAATGTTACAAGTGTGTAATAGATTGGCATCGATAATCGTGCGATGCCTCTGAATAATGTTACAAGTGTGTAATAGACTGGCATCGATAATCGCTTCCCAACAATGGGGGCCAAGCCGGGATTTGAACCCGGGACCTACTAATTTTCTTTTATATTTTGTTGTGAGTGACCACGTCTGGCACTTTCCAAACATATCAAAAGTAATATTTTCCCACACTGGACAATCACAGCCGTCACCCAGCAAATTGAGCACTGCATCAGCAACTCATGACACCTGATGGCAACAAGTGGCAGATCATCATCTTTTTTCTTCTTCTTCTTATTCGCCTACTGTAAACTCCAGCAGAAAGTTATGGTTGTTCACCCACTTCTGTACTTTGGCCTTGCTCTAAGATGTTTGTGAGCGTTGTGTGCACATCTATGTTTAAGATCTGGCTTCTTTGTTGCTTCCTCGCCTCTCAAGCAGATGCTGTCAGTCTTGAAAGGAAATGTCAGCCCTATCTTTGATAGCAAGGCTCTTTGTTGGGAACCTGGTTCTAAAAAGCCTGTGGAGAGGTGTACACAGATCTTGACTAATATGAGCCTTAGACGTGATGCAACACCAAATGTGGTTCAGCATCTCTGTATCCCAGAAAAAGACAAGTAAAAAGTAAAGGCACCATTTTCCAGGCCTTCAGATGTGTTGGGCATATAGGGCTAGACCTAATTTTATAGACCAATGGGCACTGGGTGGATGATGTGGTCAGCGTCATGCCAGCCATCTTTATTTCCCAGGACTGCAGCTGGTACCCACTCAAGGCTGGGTCAACCTGGGAGCCAAGTCATATAAAAAAAAAAAGTCCAGTTCCGTCAGAACCCGAACCCATGACCTTTCTATTCGCAAGCAAGTGTCTAGCTGCTACACCATGGCGACTCCACCAGAAGATGATAATCATGAATATATTTTGGGCTTTCTGGATAAACACACGGGCGGTCTCTCTCGGCAGAACATCAAACAGAAAAACTCACCATAAATACATCAAATTCATCCAAGCATCTAAAGGGAGATTCCATGGCTTCCCAGAGAGAGAGAATGAAGCAGACTGTTGAAAAAGACCTCTCCCCTCCAGACAGTGACTTCAGATCTTTGGCTTCCCCACCAACGCCTTTTTTGCTGGGACTCTTTTGTGCTGTGTTCACAAGTATTTCCAGCGTCTGTTTTTCAAAATCGAACTTCATCTTTCCTGTGAATTTGCGCTGAAACATCTGGATGAGGAAGAAGTATCTGAAAGCAGAGAAACACAAGAAAGGCATCAACCATTGAGCGAGGATTTTCCAACACTGTATCTAAAAAAAAATAATTTGAAACCATCAAATGAGGCGATCATTGTTGTATAAAACAACTGTAAATAAACAACAGAATAATTATATATGAAACAAGTATAAATAAACAACTGAGGCAATCATTGCTGTATAAAACAACTGTAAATAAACAACAGAATAATTATAGATAAAACAATTTAAATAAACAAGGGAAGCAATAACTGTTCCATATTAGAGTTGCCATGATTCCACCATTTTGCAGAGGTGTCCTCATTTCAGAGTATATCTGAGCATCAGCAGAATGGCGGATGCATGCCAACCTTATTCAATAAATAAAAATTATGAAAAAAAAAAAAGACAAGCAATCATTTTAAAAATGTGAAAAAAGGGAGAAATCAAAGTTGGGCTATCCTCCGACGAACGGTCGGCAAAGATGGTGACGGCAAAATATCCAGCCAAGCCGCGGTCACTGCGCACTTGGGGTCACAGGTCAACTGCGCGCTTCCGGCTACTTCATGTGCGCTTTTCCGGCGACAATGGCTACCGCCACGTGGCCTCCACGGGGTGTGGATTGGGGCTAAACTAGATGGCTAGGACTCACGAGCAAAGCTGCAGGAGATGCGGAAGCTGCTGCTCGTGAGTCCTAGCCATCTAGTTTAGCCCCAATCCACGCCGCGTGAGCGGCGTGGGGGGCCACATGGCAGTAGCGATTGTTGGCGGAAAACCGCAAATTAAGTAACCGAAAGCGCGCAATGACCCGTGACCGCGGCTCGGCTGGATATTTTGCTGCCGGCATCTTTGCTGACCATTTGTCGGAGGATAGCCCAAAGTTGTATAAATAAACAATGAGAGTAATCGCTGTATACAACGATTCTGAATAAATAATGACAGCAAACGTTACACAGAACAATGTCAAATAAAAAACTTGGCAAATATTATGGGGAAAAATGAAGTTAGTACTTTGTTCTGTTTGCAATGTTCTTGCGCATTTTCAGGTATGCCAGCTGCCTCTTCTCCATGACCTGAAAACAGAGAAATGATAAACTAATTCAGGATGAGATCCCTTGTGCTTCCATAAACTTCTTTCTTCTTCTTCTGGCATTTTGTTTTGTAGTTTACAGCAAGACCTTTCAGCCTGATTTCAGGAAATCCTTAAACAGCTGCCTGTCATGATATGCTTGTAAGGGGGGAGAACTGGGTCTGTTTTTTCTCTTCCCTAAAATGAAGCCTTGGAGCCTACATGCAGCGTTCCATAAACACATGACTATCCAATATATTCTTCCTCCATTTGCTGTTATGTGAATCTACTTTTTTGTTATTAAATGATGAGTTAACATACTCTCCCTTAAATTGCTTTATGATGATCTCACCTACTCTCCCTTAATTAACTGTTATATAAATCTACTTTTTGTGTTACTATATGATTAGCTTCATATGAATCTACTTTGTTACTTTATAAGGAGCTAATCTACTCTCCCTAACTAACTGTATATAGAGATTCCCTATATTGGGAGGCTGAGTGGTCTCGAGGTATGGTGTCTGCCTCGAGTGCTGGAGGCCTGGGTTCAAGCCCCGGTGAAGACTGGGATTTTTCATGTGGATTTCCAGTAATTTTCCCTGGTCTTTGGGTAGGAAGATTGGACGCCTGTATGTATTCTTGCAAATGTAAAGAAATCCCTTGGCAGTTGGAAACCGAAAAAGAGTAGCCTAACAACGCTGCACGGGCAGAACTTTTGAGTTTTAAAAGATCTACCCAAAGTATTTCAGGATACTCGCTGGTGCAATGGAGTTCCTGCACAGCGCTAAGATTCTTCAGACTCAGGCTTGAGTTAGAAGTGGAACGGAGCACTTATGAATTACACCTATGTGCCATGATGTTGATCTGTCGAAAAAACATAACTGTATATAAATGGACTTTTTGTTTTACTATATGATCAGCTTTAAAAAAATCTAATTTTTTTTTCACTATATAATGAGCTAACCATTTATCCCTCCGCTGGGTGTTTTATGAAACAACTTTTCTATTACTTTAGGATGAGCTAATCTCTTCTGCCTCAACTGGTTGCTAGATGAATCTAATTTCCTCTGTTACTTTATGGTTCACCAATCTTTTGAACACTTTAGTTGCTAAAGGAGCCTACATTTTTCAGTTACATCGAGGAGAACTGGTGCATAAACAAACAGCATCATGTCCCGAAAGCAGAGGTATGTTGGCCACATTTAAACACCAAAAAAACCTGGGGGGAAATGGTGATGGAGGGTAGTTTCTAGAAGATGAGGCAGAGGCCGACCTCTACGAATGAGATACAAAACACTCTCATGCACTGGCAATGAAAGCCCAGGTCTGTAGAATTAGCTAGAGACTGAGACTTTCAGGCATACCATGAAGAGATCGACATTCTGAAAAGAACCTGCTGAGTGATGATGAATCCTTTTCCTGCCAGCTTGTTGTAATTTGAATCTACTTTTTCTCTGTTACGCTTTAGTCATTAATCTCTTCACAACCATTTAACTAGTTGTTAAATGAGCCTACATTCTTTGGGTACTTTAAAAACTAACCTATTCTCCCTCAATTAATCTTAACATAAATATAAATTAAAAAAAAAAATTAAAAAATTACTTTACGATGAGTTAGTTTCTTGCTCGCCACCTAGTTGTTACATTAATCTATTTTCCCTGTTATTTTATGGTCATCAGTACCTTTACAACCAGTTTGTTGTTAAATGAGCCTTTATTTTCCCCATTACTTTAAAAGCTAATGATGTATTTCCCATAAGCTAACTGTTATATTAGGGTTTCCCAGAAGCACACAAAAACTAAGAATAACTAAAACAATTATTAATTAATAATAGCAAACATTCATTAACTGGTGCCTACACAGAATTTAGCGAGCTAAATGGTACAGCAGAATCCCAAACACGGAGCTTTGGGGGAGAACTTAACACATTTCAGTGTGTCAAGAGGTGAGGAAAAGATGATGGTGCTGGATAGGACAAACACCGAAAAAGAAAAAAAAACCAAAAATATAATTAGAATGTCCTTGCATGGAACAAGCAAGGCTAAAGTTTTAAAAGTAGACTAAAAAAAAAAATCATTATAGAAGAGCTTTGTTCAAAATCCACATTACAGCACTTTGAACAAATGCATAAGCACTCCCATCCCCTTCTTAAGTGGCCAGCTCAGAGTTTCAATTCTAATGGTGCTAGTAACAGTCTGATTGTATGTCCACTCTGCTTACCACTGAGTTTTGAGATGTCAGCCAGCCCTATGCCCTGATCACTTCCTTCGGTATCAGTCTTGCCAGACTTACTTGAGCTTCCATACTGCTCACTCACTCCCAAAGGAGCCTGACCATATCATGTATCAACTTACCACCAAATGACGCAGAACCAGCCAATCTGTCAACCTGTTTATTTCTCCAAAACACCTGAATGCCCTGGAGAAAGGACAGTGACTATATAGATTTCTGAAGAAATGTTTGCCACTCTGTATGGAGCGTGTCAGCCTTTACTGCATGCTTTCTGAGTTTGTTACAATCAAAATATGTGTGCACAGATGACTCTCATGCCAGCGGGAAGGTTGCAGTGAATATAATTACAACACTGCAAACAGGAGAATAATGGAGGGGTATATGCCTGGGAAGAGAGGAAGAGGAAGGCCAAGGAGAAGATGGGTGCAGGATGTGGCAGATGATCTCCAGATGGGTGTATCAGACGCAGGACATCTTGCTCAGGATAGGAAGGTTTTCCGGAGGGTTGTTATGGCAGCGAGGTTCCGCGAGGGACATGCTACTGAATGAATGAATGAATGAAACAGGAGAATCAGACTGATCAGAATAATTTAAGGACTTTATGGGGGTCAACTATTCATGAAGGTAAAGTAAAAGTCCCTTTTTCCAAGCATTTAGGTGTATTGGGATTATAGGGCTCACCTATATTTTTATAGACCAATTGGCACTTTGGTGGATGATGTGGTCAGCATCACTCCAGCCACCTTTACTTCCCAGGACTGCGCCTGATACCCACTCAAGGCTGCGTCAACCTGGGAGTCAAGGTCTTTTTTGAAAAAAGTACAGCTTTGTCAGGACGCAAACCTAAGACCTTCCGATCTGTAGGTGGGGGCATTCATGAAACGTAAAAAAAAAAAAAAAAAAAACTGTATGGTCTAGCATGACTTGAGGACCTATGTACTGTTAAGGGACAAAAACCAAAATAAAGAACAGATAACTACTTAAAATAAATACAACGAAAACAACAGCAACATAAATCTTACATCATTCAATCTTTTAACATAATTTTTCAACTGCTCTACTTCTCGTCTGACAGTCTCAAGCTTGTCTTTCTTTGACTTGTAGGTCTCCATGATCTCCTCTTCATTTCCTTGTTTCTCCTCCTCCTCTTCGATACGATGCTGGATCTGTGTTATCTCACTCTCAATGTTGGCAACAGATCTTCTTGTGTTTACAGGTTCACAAATTTCTGAGGCTTTCATGTGGCAATCTTGAAAGTCCTTTCTATGCTTCTCCACCTGCAAATCAGAAATGAATATCATTTCATTTTAACTGTAAATGAGATGCATCAAAAGACCCATAAAGCAATTACAAATAATGCCAAATGTAATAACAGTTGTTGGCATATAGATATATAACAATTAAAAAAAAAAAAAAAAAACAGGAATAGAAAAACGAAAAGAAATATATTTTCAACAAGGAAAATTAGCATTTGGAAAGGAAACACGGTTAGTTCAACATTAGTCTCCCCAAATAGAGTAGGTCACTTTTCATTCACAAGTTTGTTTGGCTGGTCGACTTTCCTGAAGGTTACGGGTGTGTCCCGCTCTGTTGTTCGCTTTCTGCGATGTCTTGCATTTACGTTTTCATTCCGAGAAAGAGAATGCCTGTGGCATAGGTTGCAGCACTCTCTAGGGAAAATGGGGGGAGGGGGGGTTGTGTTAAACCCAGCTTCTTCATGTTTTTGGAGTGTTAAAAGTGCTGGGGTGCTGAAATATACAACACGCAATATCAATGGCATTGCGGAACACTCCTGTAACCGTGTGCGAAGGTCACAGGGCTCAGGAACTACCAATAGGAAGTGAGCTAGTGTGTATATGGGTGGGGTTTAGGGAGACTAACGTTGAACTAACCGGAAAAACAATGAAAATGAGAAGTGTTAACTGTTAATGATAGTCAACCCTGCTAGAAGGTGTAGAAACCAGGACAAAGAACAAGCAAATAGAAAGTTAAATTCAGGCATCAAGGATGTTATGTCAAATTTCATGGAACAAGATAATACTGAGGTTTTGCAGAGACTGAATAAAATGAGTCCCCCCCCCCCCCCCCCCCCCCCAAAACCCCCCCCCCCCCCCCCCCCCCCCCCCCCCCCCCCCCCCCCCACCCCCCCCCCCCCCCCCCCCCCCCCCCCCCCCTCCCCCCCCCCCCCCCCCCCCCCCAAAAAAAAACATCTGGTTGTGAAGCCTTCATCAAAGGTCAAATATAAAGAACCCTTTTCCCACCAGTCATGTAATGTCAATCACTGTCCCTTGTGAAAACCTGACACAGACTCAGCAAAGCCAAAAGGACACACTAAATGCATAAGGCAGCTACCAGAAGTGCCAGCAAAAACAGTCTGGCACTAGAAATGCAGTTGATCATCCATGGAAGCAGCAGTTACAACAGATCAGCAGCTGCCAAGGCAATTAAAAGCAAAAGGCACCATTATTTATTATTTATCTGGTAACAGGCTGCTCGCCATTTTCTGAATCTGCAAGTCAGAACACAAACCATGATGGGCAGCCAAAAAAGCCATTCCAAGTAAAATCTGCAGCTCACAGTGTGGCGTCATGTACTCATATCAGTAGCTGGGTGATGGAACCATATCTTTTAAGACTAAATATATAGGCAAATGCAAGGATAACGACCGTCAGAAGCAAAAACTTGCCAAGAAAAAAAAAAAAGTAATTCTGCCTATTCGCCCTATTGATCAGAATAGCAACAACAGAATTCCTATAGCTCCATGATAAAAACAACAACAAAATTATTTCAAATCTGTTTTATTAATATTTCCTCTGAGAAAGGTCATCTCTCTCTCTCTCTCTCTCTCTCAGTTTTCAGGTTCAGTATTTGGGCACTTTCTCACAACAATAATAACAACAGCAATAGACTTATATCTTCATGTTATCTATAACAACAAACAATTTCAGATTTCAACCTCTGTTTTTAGCTCCTGAATCTTTCGCTCCTGCTCTTTAAGCTTGTTCTTATAATGTTTGAGATTGGATGAGGCGTTGTCTACTTTCCTCTCGGCCTCGTGGATCTCATCCCGAAGCTGAATGCCACTGTCTGTGAGAGGGGAGTATACAAACTTGAAACATACAAGCACAAAATCATTCAACGGTCTGAGAAAAGGATATATATATATATATATATATATATATATATATATATATATATATATATATATATATATATATATATATATATATATATATATATATATATAATATATATATATATACATATATATATATATATATATATATATATATATATATATATATATATATAAATATATATATATATATATATATATATATATATATATATATATATATATATATATATATATATATATATATATATACTTATACTTAAAATATACGTTTACAAAATTATGTGACTATCTGAGGAAGGGGTGTATTCTTGAAATATACATTTATATAACTATATCTCTGTATAAAGAAGGGCATTTTTAAAAATTATAAATATATACACAAACACACACACGCATATATATATATATATATATATATATATATATATATATATATATAAATCAATGTTTGTGTGTTTGTTTGCCCCCTATAGACTCGGAAACTACTGAACCGATTTAGCTGAAATTTTCAGGATATGTTTGTTTTGATACCGGATTTTGAACCATCGTGGTTTGAAATTCAGCCTGTCACTGTTAGAGATAGGTGACCACAATTTATGCCATAATATTCGCAACTAATATTTATAACTTTAGTGATTTTTAATTATAGCCACGTTAGTAATTGCGCATGCGCCGCCGTAGTCAGAATGCAAGGCTTCCGCCATTCGCCGGCGAGTTACGTGCAGCCAACGCCTTAATACATAGAGTAGGTCGAGGTACCGCAAACAAGACTATCTCTATATTTGCCACAATAACCATATTAAACATGATTTCTATTTTCTGTTTTTTTTTTCAAACAACCTTCGATGCGGGGGGGGGGGGGGGGGGGGGGGGGGGGGGGGGGGGGGGGGGGGGGGGGGGGGGGGAGAATCAAGGACTATCTCGACGTCGGCGCAGACATTGACTGCGTCATTAACTTCATTAGACAGGTGCGATTTCCATTGTCTTTCTTTTCTAAAAACCTTTGATGAGGGAGAGGGTAGTAGGTGGATTTAGTTGTGGGCTGGGGGTGGGGTGGGGATCAAAGACTATCTCCAATTACGCCACAGCAACGCGTGGCCGGGTACAGCTAGTATATATATATATATATATATATATATATATATATATATATATATATATATATATATATATATATATATATATACATAGATATATATGTGTGTGTGTACGTATATATATATATATATATATATACTATATATATATATATATATATATATATATATATATATATATATATAAGTATAAAGTTGTGTCACTGTCTGAGAAAGAAAAATTAATCATGAAATACACAAGTAACAAATTATGTGACTGTGAGAAGGGGAAATGTATCAAAATATACAAGTACTTAACTGTATTAGTGTCCGAGGACGAGAAATGTATAAAATACGCATGTACACAGTTACGTCACTGCCTGAGAAAGGGAAATTTAACATAACACATACAAGTAGAAAATTGTGTCACGGTCTGAGAAAGGGAAATTAAACATAAAATTTATAAGTACCAAATGATGTTAAGTCTGGGGAATGTAAATGTATCATAAAGTATATTAAGTAAGTAAAGTAATAAATAAAGTAAAGTTACAGGCAGTAACGACAATGAATATAAAATATACTTCACCTGACCGCTCCCGTATGTCTTCCTCCACCTTTTTGTAATTATCTAGCGCAATTTGAAGAGCATCGTCTGCTTTTTTCTTCTCTTCTTCTATGGATTGGTATTTTGTCCGAAGTTCTTGGATTTTGCTGTTGTATGCTGTAACTTCTTCCTCCTGTAAAGTTAGACAGCACCTCAATGTTTCTGTCATTAAGGCATTAAACCTTTCATCATTCATAATCAATCATTTAAACAATATTCACTACTAGATAAAGGAAGCTGCGGTAGCGTAGTGGCTAGTCACTTGCCTGCTGGACTGAAAGACTGGGGTTTGAATCAGCATCAAGATAGATTTTTGTTTTTCAAAACTAAATCTCTGGATATACAATTAAATACAAAGATTCCTAAGAGGCAACATGAATCCCGGACCACATATATCCAAATTAACACAGGCAATGGCTTCAATCATTACAAAAGTCTTCTGTGCGTAGAGCCACGTTTATTTTTGTTTCGGGACATGCGGGCGTCAATGAAAATGAAATAGCTTATAGGTTGGCTGGATCTGCTATCAGTACCAATAGTTAATCTATAGCTCATGCCGCTATTATTAATGCTCTCCGAGGAATGGGAAGAGTGGAGGACTTTGGGGCCAGTGAATCCATATCCCTTGCCAGAATGATAGACTTGGGAGTTAAGATCGGCATAGCAAAACATGAGATGCACACCAGAGGACATGTTAATCAACACAGAACTGGTACTTTTAGCCACCAGGGGCTGGGGTTCATACTGAGAGAAGGATCTGAGCACACATGGACAGGTTCCGAGTGCAGTGATTATAACCCAACTTATTAACTAACTAATTACCTCAGGGAAAAACTGATCATGGAGGCAAAATCTTCAATACCCATCCATCAATGGGCGATTTCCGTCTGTCTGGTCCACTAAAATACTCACCTTTGACGTTATTTCTTCAAAGACAAAGAGCCTGAATATCTGGTGAGTGTAAATGAGCTGCAGAGAACAAACTTCTTAACTGAAAGCTTTGAAACACCGAAATGGCAATGCTTATTAATGCTGATAGATATTATTTTCAGATGAAGGTGAAATGTAAATAGAGCAAAAAACTATGTTGGATTACGAAGACAGAGAATAAAGTGGTGCAGCATCTAAATAGAATGGAATCTACAAAACTACCCTTGCATGCTGACAGCTGTAGAGCGACTCAGAGAACAAAAAAGCCAAGAAACACACAAACTGACATCACCATCAACCCTTTACAATGACAAAGGTTTAAAAAAAAGACAGCACAAAAAAGCTAGCTTTAGGACACAAACTGCAACTCCCCACGTCTCTCAGCCTATATGTGTCCTCCTGGTGTGGGATATGGGGCCCCATGTGCCAGGGAGGTGGAGGTGGCTAGAGACCCACTGCCCCTTAACGAGCAGGTAGCCAAAAAGTGACTAATTAGAGATGTTTCCTTCAAAGTCAGAGTGCATCTGCCAGAGGGGCAAGGAACCATGTCTGCATAAAATGAAGCCAGATCTGCAAAGCAGATATGGATGCAAAACTAAAGTTCAGGGACAAGCCCAAAGTTTGAAACTGGAAGAACAATCAGAACTTTCTGCTGAGTTTACAGCCAGGAAGATTATACCCAGAACAGGACAAAAAAACTGTTCTTCTGCTCGTTTAACAGTGGACAAACAGTTAAGAAAGAGATCGCTTGAAGAAGGGTTGAGTCATGAAGCCAGGTTTCTTTACATACCAAGGTTGTCACATCTACAGGTGTAGGGTCTTCCACGTTTCTAAGCTCTCCAATTTCAAAATTGTAACTACTGATGTTCTCCATGATTTTGTTCAACTGTGTCTGGCATTTCTTTCCTTCTTGCTGGTTTGTGATTATCTCACGATTTCTTGCATCTCTCTGAAAAAATGTTTAAAAAAAAAAATTATAATATTTAGCAAGGCTAATCACTTGATAAATTGATATAAATATGAGTATCCAAACACAGCTCTCTTCTTTCTATTCTAATCAGTAAAAGTAATATTTTTTTTTCACTTCAGAGATCATCTACATTTCACATCAGACATGACAATAAGTGCTTCGATCTTCTCCTGAGTATGTCTCCTAGTGTTAACAGTAATCTTAAAGTGATGTCAATAGGGGTACCAGCAGTCGAGCTGGCATAAATGAATTCATTGAACACAACCTATGATTAGAAAGCTCAAATGGAGCAGGTGTGTTTTGTTTGAAGTGTTTATCTTTGAGCAGAACTACAGGAAAGAAGAGAAATCCCAGATACCAGCCCTCAATGCAGAGGAATCACATGGTGTCTAGCATTTCAGAAGACAGTAACTGCTGCTAAGCTGGAAACATTGAAACCAACCTAGAACATTATATTTATAGTATGTAACCTCAAGTGGATCTGGAAAGTAAGTGAAAACCATCTAATGAAATCTAACAAGTATAAAGAGCAGTTACAAAGTAAATTTATAGTGCAGCCACAGCTTTAGGAAAACATTCACCATCAGTCTTTACAATAATATTTCCCCACAATTTGTCCAACATTTTGTTTAGGATTTAATTGTGCTGTGCCGTTTACAGCAGCACTGTCATTTTTACACAATTTAGCTAATAAAAATCACCATTTCAGGCATTTGTTGACTGGGCTAGCTTTACCAGGCGCTTTGGAATGAATAGCCCTTTATCAAATGAAATCAATAAATTAAAATAATGCATAAAACGACCAAAAAGCTCACCTGCTGTGTCAGGGATCTGATCTCTGCCTCCAGCTCCTTCTCCTCCTGCACCAGCTTGAGGATCTGATCCTGCACATCTGCCATCAGGTACTTGACTGCCGTCCTGTCGGAAGAGTAGTAACGGAATGTTGGCACACTGAATGCCTGGTCTCCTACCATTGTGAAGCACTGTGGACATAATAATCAAGGCTAATTGGATAATGTCATGATTTCTGGGTGTTCAGAAGAAGCTGAGAAGTATGCTAAAAAAACTATTGTATTTTCTCATATATCATAAGTTTTCCCAGGTGTTTGTAACGCCTAAAATTTAGAGTTATCTTATACATGGAATGATAAAGTAAATATCCCCTTTCAGACCATCGGCACTAGGTGGGTAATGTGGTGAGCATTACTGTCCATCTTTACTTTCCCAGGATGGCCATCCTGGCACCCATTTTAGGCTTGGTCAACCTGCGACGCCCCATTCCATGATAAAAATCCACACGCAGACAGCTGTGGGTTTCAATTGCTGTAAGTTGGAATTATGAGTCGGGCTCACAACGCCTAAGCCACGGACACCGCGATGCATGGAATGTTTTTAAAATATTTCATTCTTTAAATCTGGGCTAAAATACAGCAAAAAATATGGTAACTGTTTCTGTCCCTGACAGTTGCCAATTTAAAACTGTAACGTTTTCTGTGACGAAATAAGAATGTGAATCACTGACTATTTCGAAATCAATCAAACTGAAAATCAAGGGCCTGGACTTAAAAGTTACATAATTATTCTTAAAATATCATGTCATGGACCAAGTAGAGGGAAAATACTGACAAACTTCAGGTTTGAACAAACAAACTTTATTTTTTGAAGGGTCACAAACTGGGAACACTGGCCCATCTTCCAACCACTAAACTTTCGTATTGTAATTGTATTTTATCTTTAAAGCATGTTATGTTCATATAACAATATACAGGCTATGAGTATCAGGTCAAATACCCAAAAATATGGATGGTAAATGTATAAGGATCTAAATGTTGAGGTGGACTTGCTCACATACAGTACAGTTTCTTTAAAGCTGAAATATATGCAGTAAATTTAAACTCCACAATGGTTAGGAAAGTTCAGTAATCAAGATGTGGTTCCCCATCTATTTACCTATCTTCTTTTACGCCACCGGGACATCATACAAGCGATAAACACCTGATGACACAAAGTGCCACCATGTGGATGAGGATCACCCGTGGCGAGGTCCCAGAAACCGCGTTCAGCCATTAGACCATATTTTTTGGCCGGGCTATATTGCGACCCCTGGCAAGAGCCAGAGTAGGGCTTCAAATAACCAAAAATTGCATCCCACAAAGGGATGACTGACACATGGTTTCCCAAAGAAGAGGCAGGATCTATCAGCATGGCGGTGGGCACAGGATCTCAGGGACAACCTGGGCATGAAAGTTCACAAGGCTGCAAAGTTGGCAAAGGATTCAAGATGATTTTAAGCATGCCATTATGAGACAGATTTCTGCAAAAGAACTGCTACAAGACAATGATGACTCCAAAGTTTAGGATCTATAAGAGTAACAATATTTGTGACTGACTATGGAAACTGTTTTCACGTGAAACTCACCTCTCTGGCATTTACTGGAGGCTGTCTCATCATAACATTTCTGGCTTCATTTGAGTCTTCAATAAGCAGCACATTCTCTATGCCCCTCTGTGGATAAGAATCATGGAAACAAATAGTTGGTCCATAACTAATTTATCTGAGTTAAGGATAAAGTCGCATAACATAGCATCTCACTGGGTCACCAGCAACTGTTGACTTATCAATTCCCTCCAACTCTGTCAGCCAAATGCAATGGATGTGGTGTTTGTGGCTTGTCAATTCAGTCGAATTCTGTATCCAGATCTTTCTTCGTCTGCCTCCCCCTTCCCTCCCTATGGCATAATTTTGGAGACATGTAGATCTTATTAAGTGTTCACACCTTGCATTTTCCATCTTTTCACTGCTGTTAAATGAGGTTCAAACTTGCCAATGTGTTGGGTGATAATACAGCAATCTTCCTCAATTGTGATGTGGTCTCTGTATGATATACTAAGAATGTTGTGAAAAGATCTCATTTCCAATGCTTGAATTTTTCTGTTAAGTTCGGATGTTAGGGCCAATTTATCACAGACAATTATAGTGATATTTTTATATTTTCTGTTGTGTGCATATTAACTAGAAAAAAAAAAAAATAAATGTAACATATGACAGGGACTGCAATTGTCGTGTCAACTGTTGACTAGAACAACATCAAGTCAAAGTGGAGTGATGTCAGACAACAGAGATGTCAGACAACAGAGATGTCAGACAACAGTGATGTCAGACAACAGTGATGTCAGACAACAGTGATGTCAGACAACAGATCTAGGCAGGGTGTCAATGAAAAACCCCAGCCCATTGCTGGTGTAACACTAATGTTCTCCCTGTATGGGTTCTGTGGTCCTACTTTGGGAGGAAAAGGGTAGATCACCGCCTCTAAACAAGTATGTCATGAAGGGAGATTAACTGCTTGCTAAAATCAAATGTACTGGGTCGAATGGTGCCTGATATTGCAGTCTAGCTGCAAACCACAAAACAACCTGCAAACCACCTTTTTTGAGCAAGAAAAATGAAGAAGAAACAGAAATATAAACAACTTTCCACTTACCTGATCAATCAGTGTGTTAATCACAACAGGATCATCGCTCTTGATCACATCTAGTATGCATGGAAACTTATCGGATTTGACTCTCTGCAAGTTAAATAAACTACACAATTTATAAGAAATACTTTTATTTAAGTTTGACACATAAACAGAAATGTCAATTATAGTATTTTTACCAACACCCCGTTACCAGTGCTAAGACATTAACAAAAGGGAAAATGAAACGGTGAAACATCAGAAATGAACTGTCTACGATAAACCTCAAATTTAACAAGGGACAGCATCAGCAATGACTATATAAGAAACAGGTTAGGACAGAATCAGTTCTAAACAGAGCAAATGGTTCAGACATGTGTTAGAATTTTGTTTTTGTTCTGGTTTTCCTTTGAAATTATGGGTTGTAGAGCACAGATAATATAGTTTTACTATTATCAAGTTGTCTCATTGTGTGCTCTTCTTCTTCTTGAAGTCCATACTGTGTGGTGTAGTAGTCAAGTCTATCCGCAACTTTCTGACTCACATACTTTCAATCAACACTGACACAGATTATCCTACATGCCATGACATCAAACTGTCCAAATTTTTTCTCTTGGTCTCCCTCTGGCACCTCCTCCCCTCCAATTTTCCTACTGTCATAATGTACTCCAGTTTTCTCCTTCTTATCACATGACCAAAGTATGAAGATAAGGGCAATCAGTTCTCTCCGTGAGTCAGTTTCTTCCAAACTTTCTACCAAACATAAAAGTCTATTGCCTCGTCTTCTTATGCTTATATCAGATAGCATCAAATATGGCCCTGCTTTCAGCAGAGCAGTTTCTCATCCGCCAAGAGGGCCTCATAAAGTTTGTACTTTGTGATGCCAGCAAAATAAGAAAGAGACAAACACTGTTCTCTAGCCTCATAATGAGAAGAGAGATATTAAAGAACATCATGACAACTGGAAAGATCAGTGGAAAAGGGGGTAGAGGCAGACCAAGAGAGATGATGCTGGATGGGTTGAAATGATGGCATGGAGGCAAATCATCAAGAGAGCTGTTCTGGGCAACCAGGGATCATGATCTGTGGAGATGTATAAGCGCCTACGCCAGTTGGCAGGGCACATGATGATGATGATGATGCCAGCAAAAAAACTCTCAGAGACCTCCAAAACAGCTTTATGAGTCACTGAATTACAGCAATGGAAGCAACGCAACGTTCAAAACAAAGGACGCTGCTGTAAGAAAACCGGCATTGTCTGCGACTGCTAATTTTTGCTAAAGACTTTATAAAGAGTTATGAACCCACATTCCACCTATGCATGCCCTCAAAGCTTAATGTGTCATCATCATCATGCTGTGGCATTATACACCCCTATGGCTTGCAGTCTATTTTTCTATTCTATTGTGGGAACGACACCTTGTACTAGATTCATCGAGAAACAGCAGATCAAGTGGTTTGGCCATCTCGTTAGAATGCAGCAAGATCAAATACCATCACAAGCACTACATCTCAGAAGATCAACTACAAGAGCAAGAGGAGGGCCGTGGAAAACACGGATCAACAACATTAAAGACACGCTACGACTTCACGGCATGACAATAGCCAGTGGCAGCCAACGTGCACTGGATCGCAAATTATTCCTCCCCACGACGCTTAACGGCAGAAGTGGTTTATGATGATGATGATGAGGATGATCCTGTACAATCTCTTTGTTTCAAATATCACAGAGGGAATTTAGTCCAGCACCTGTAACCTCTCTCATACATTCTGGCCACAGAGTTCCCCCATGGACGTCCTTATTTCCTCAATTTATCCACCCTTCTTGTTTCAGATAAACTGTTAATTTAATCTCTGAAACATAACAGCAAAACTCAAAAACGGTGCTGCTATTCTCAATTATTAACTTTGCCAACAATGTAAATCGCATAAATTTAATTATGTTATCAAATTAGAAAGGACTTGAGTCAAACAGAATCACACAAAACAAAATAATGACAAGAAAATACTTTAACAAGGCATTAAAAAAAACACAAAAAAACATTCAAGCACTTACATATTTTGAAACATTGTGTACTGTATTCTGTGGAGTAGAAAGAATGATGTGTTAATGTTTGTTTAAATATTTTTTGAAAATAAGACATTTTTATTAGTCTTTATTGTTGTCAGATAAAAGATTTTTCGGTTGCCTTTTTTGCACTAATCTACAGCCACATGACGATGATGCAAAACAAAATAAACAACTTTTTTTCTTGAAATTTGTTCTTCATTCAGTTTGGTACAAAAATACAAAATATTGTGAGATTATATCAAATAGTTGTGAAGCTATGGCATTTTTAGTAAACACTAAAATATGTGGTATCTGGGGAAATGCAAGGGTTAATGGGCTTGGTAGTCAGTGGGTTAAAAGATTATCAGAAAAAAAAAAAAAAAAAACTAGTATAAACATAAATATAGTGTGAAAGTAACACAAGGAATTTAAAAAGTATGGTTTAACACATCAATTGACAGGAGCAGCACAAACAGTTAGAATGCCAGCCTCTCTTTCAAGAGACTTGGGTTCAAATATTCTGTGAGGTATTAAAAAAAATGTTAAGCTGGGGGCAAAAACTAACAATCCTAACATGTACAGTTCACAGAAACTGTCCCCGTGTGGGCTCCAGGGGTCCCACTTTGGGGGCAAAAAGAACAGACCAACTGCCGCCAAAACATGCACGCTGCAAAAATAAACTAATAAGGGGTGTTCCTATGAAGTTAGACTGCATCAGCTTCAGAGACGGGAAACTAACAGTGTGCATATAAATAAGCCAGGTCTGTAAAATGGATGTGCACATAAAACTCAAGTTCTTGAACAAGAAAAATTCCAGAAGTGAACAAACAATCAGAACTTTCCATGGAAGTTCACATCCAGAGAATGTGAAGAAGGAAGGCAACTGCCATAGCCATGCAGACATAAACCCTGAGGTTCCAGATTGCTCTTTAACTGCCGTAAAATTGGTAAACACAGGTGGTAAAACCAGTTTTTAAAAGAAAAAAAAGTATTTTAAATATCATTTACAAATGACCATAAAAAAAAATTTACAATGTCACTAAATATTCCAGTTTCTGCACACACATATACTCACCAACAAGATGCCAACTGCAGTGTCAAAGTGTAAGATAGAAATCATGTTGTTATATGTATCTGTCGTGAAGTGAGCAGCCAACCCTACACAATGGACGAGTCGTGATGCTGACTTCCCTTAGCGGGCAGTCACATTTCAAACTTAAACCCGCCCGGAGGAGTATATAGTCCCTTATATTGATATATACCTTTATCTGGTGAAATATTCATTTCTAGACCCTCTAGTTGCTTTGAGATATCTTCATTTTCAAACTTGCAACTGTGGGCTGAAGATTTCTGGTGTTTAATTCAGAAATTCCTGTAAGCCGGTTTACTCCTTAGGCATGAATACCGTCTTTCCTAGAGACGCCAAGTTTAGGTTTGAGCGGCATTCTCTCACCTGATTCCTAAGTGTCAAGACGTGTATACAGTCTATGTAGAAAATTGGCGCATTCAAAGTACCAGTTCTATATTGGAAGAATTCCTAAGCTTGGGTAAGTTGATTATAGTTTACGAGTACATAACCCACACCATTTGTAAAGATATTAAACCCTACAAGTAATTATTCTCTGACTAGACAAACGAAGTTTTGTGCCTTCAAGTAGAAATATGGAATCTGGGTCATCTTTTAACAGTTAACTGCTGTGACGTCAGAGCTCGACGCTCTGAGTCAAAGGTGTGTTTGGTACGGAAATATCAGGTGTGTAGTAGCAGCCTGTGGAGGCGTGATATATATATAGTTACTAATGGGGTACATTGTATGTCTGCGAGTGCAGATGTGAGGGTGGAGAGAGGACGATCTATGTGTGGTAGTGTCTATCTATCTCCACTATATACCTTGTTTCCTATCTGTTGCACTAATTTACAGAAAAATGAAAAGAGACACTGTCTCCTGTTCTTGAGAGTTACACTCTGAGGAATGGAGAAGGGTAGCAGAGGTGGGGTGAGCTTGTGTGTGAATAAGGTTGATTACTAATTCTGAGTTCTTTCCTGACAGGATGATACCTCCTTAGAGATCAAGCAGACGAATCACAGTCCAGCCAACAACCACCAACCCATAGCATTCTGGGCACCAAGCATACCCAAAAGTCCTGCCCATTGTGCCACTACCTCAACATGGCAAGAGCTTGTTTGTGAGTACCAGGACTAGTGGACAACTGCAGACACCTATGTCATCAATCCAGAGAACCAGTCTCCAAGAGCTTTGTTGGGTTCTGATGCAGTTCTTGTGTCCTCGCTTGTGAGACAGTCAACTTGTACCAGATCAAATCGAGGCATAGCTACCTATTGAGTCAACTACAGCCGAATCACCATGGACTGAGGGGATAAGTGATCTCTTATTCATTTTCATGCTCTCTTCCCACAGCACCACGGCCACTTATTCAATATATTCGTGGCTAACCTCTATATCTAGAGGCCTTTCCACCATCCGCCACCTGGTGGACGCGCCTAGTAGTAGGACGGGCTCCTACCCCAGTTCTGACTTCAGAACCTGGTAAAGATGGGTAAGACTGAAGAAAAGAAAGCTTGGGGAAGGCAAAGCGGTGAACACCTGGATGGCTTAGGCATTTGTATGAGGGTGTGACAAGAACAATTACCTGCTCCGTGGTTCTGGTGGTTGTGTGTGATGTTTAAACATGACAGTCTACGCCAGTGTTTCCAAAACTTTTTTAAGTCGTCGTGCCTTTTCTCAATTAAAATGTTTCCACGGCGCCCTAACCTAAGTAAAAGTATGACTATTTGTATGTGAGAGATTAAAAAAACAAAAAACTCTTTGAATATATTTTGCGGCGCCCCTGTGAAGAGGTCGCGGCTCCCTGAGGCGCGCAGTTTGGGAATCACTTGTCTACGCTTATCAGCATGGCACATGATGGTGATGACACTCACACTCAAACCATTTAACCATACTCACACTGAAAGCACTGGTAATGATTGTCGGGCGAGGCCCTCGAGAAGATTTGAAAATGTCTTCCAGCAATTTCTCATCATGATGGTCATGGCACACAAAGGACACGACGAGACCTTTGAGGCAGCATTCTATCGCTAGGGCCCACTTTGGGTCTATTAAATCGAAGCAAGCACCTGTAGGATTTAAAAAACGGTTTTTAAAATACAACTGACAACAATCTTAGCCAACATCTATTTAAAGTAAAGGACCTCTTTCTGCACATGGTGCTAAACCTCTTTTTTTTCGGCCAGACTTATTGGTATTAGACGGATGAGGTGGTCAAGATTCTGTCATCCACTTTTACTTCCAAGGAAATTTTCTGATTACTCATTTTAGGCTTTGATTCATAAACATCAAGTGCCTTGCCAGCTGGCGTAGGCTTTCATGCATTCAGTCTCTGTTCTGGATTAATTCCACTGATGATATTCCTCCATGCCACTGTCATAAGCCATGGACCATCACTTCTCTTGGTCTCCCTCTGCCTCTTCTACCAGTGAAGTTTCCAGTCGTCACAATATTTTCCAGTGCTCCTTTTCTCATCACATGAACAAAGAACTATATCTCCTTCTCATTAGTGTATATAATGTTCTAGTGGGAGTGAGTACAAGTTAATAACAAAATATCAGCCCCAATGTGTATTCAAACCCTAAGACCTTTGGCCTGGCAGGCAAGCATCTAAGTATTGCACTACTGCCACTCCTCAACTGAAGTAAACACATATAAAAGTCCCAATATGCAGCTGTTGGTGTTAGCTGTAGCTGTTTTCATTCTGTCCAGCTGCTCTTTTAGACATTGCTAAAATTGTATTTACTTTTCCTTCTGTTCTTTAACCCCACCTAAAAGATAAACCCTTAACCAAACCATGTCAGACACTTTCACCCTTTACTTATCTGCCTCTAGTTCTCCTCCAGTTGTGTTTATATAGGTCATTCTCTATTTCTTTTACCATGTGTGTTCCAGTGTAAAGACATACTAGTTATAGGTAATAAGTTTAATAAAAAACAATGGTTGTTTACCGCTCTACCTATGTGCCAGTCCTGATCTATGGGTGTGAAACATGGGCAATGACAACAGCTCACAGAAGCCAGCATTAGACCTTAGAAATGAGATATCTGAGAAAGGTGGTCTAAGTGACAAGAAGGGACAAAGTTCACAACCAGACGACAATTCGTCAAGCCTTACAAACCCGAGTGGACCAGTCACAGTTACGATGGTTTGGACATGTATGCAGAATGGGAGAAAATCGACCACAATAGTAGGTATAGAAGGCTAAGAACCAGTGAACCAGACCTCCAGGGTCCACTGGGGAGACAACATCTGACAGTCCCTGACTGGCAGAGGACTGGAATGGAACAGAGCCAGAAAGAAGACTGCTGATAGAGAAGTCTGATGATCTCTTTGGCAAACCTCTACACCCCAAGGTAGAAGAGGAACGACTAAGCAAGTAAGTAAGTGAGTTTAAAAAACTAACAGTGAAGATCATACTAGAGACAACATTACAGATATAGATCATCTATTTCAAGCGAACGGTAAGAAGAAATTTAAAAATTACTGATAAAAAGCATGCCATGTTTAAGACAATATTTACGCAGGAAAACTATGCAGATCGCTCTAATCATTTACATATTATCGTTATTATTCGCTATGCAAATAAGTATAGGCAGCCATTGTTGGTCATCTTACACAATTACTGTATAATCATGCACCAGATATTTTCCATATAGGTTACTAGACCCACTTTTGTGGTGGAAAAAACACAATAGACCCACTGTCATTCTCAGGGGTGTTTCCTTTGAAGTCGGAGAGCATCTGCCTGAGAGAAAAAGAACCCACAGTCTGCACATAAACACACCAGATCTGTAAAATGGGTGTGCATGCACAGTTTAAGTTCTGGAATCTGATCAAAGTTAAGAAGAAGACAAACAACCAGACCATTCTGCTGGAGTTTTATTTTAACCTTCCCTTTGCTCTTGTTTCCATCAAGACCCTCAAGGCACAGGCAAGCAACTAACCACTGCGCTAGCATGACTGTTTTCTCCTCAGCATTCATTGGCTGTAAACTTATTTATATTTATAATGTTGTTTCCTCGCCTCTCAGGCAGATGCTCTCTGACTTCAAAAGAAATAAATGCCCTTAATTAGTCAGCTTTTACGACAAACTTGTTGGGGGGGGGGGGGGGGAAGAGCGCAGTTGGACTATTCTATTTGCCCCTAGAATGGGGCCCCAGTACGTACACAGGGGCTACCATGACACAATACAAGCACAAACATACAGAAAAACAACTCACCTAAAGGCCCCTTCGGAAGCATGTGAAACTTTTCAGCATTTGCTTGTATTTTATCAATGACTGTTTTCATATTTAAACCAAATCTTTGCAGACGATCATTTTTGGCTGCCTTTAATGTCCGTATAGAAATTCTCACTTCCCCAAGCTTGACGTTTTTCTGTTTTATTTGCTGTCTGATAAACAAAGACATTTAAGTTACAATGTACTGACAGCAATGAGAAGGTTTACATTAACAAGAAAAATTGTCTGCCATCTCCATAAAGAAGGCTGGACACCTACTACTTTTGGAATGTTATGACTCTTGAACCACTTTACAAAACGACAAGGGCAGTTAAAAAAAAAAAACATGTCAGGCGTAGAAATTGAACCTTAGTTCCTGAGGATCATCAACTGTTAAACACATTCACTAACCTCTAAGCGACACAAGCAAATTAAGGTTAAGCCTTATTTCAATAATATTCAATCCACACAGCCTCATTAAGGTTAAACTGTTACTTCAAACATTCATTAACTTGTACCTGTGCAGAATACAGGTACGCCAGAATCACTAATGTTGAGCTTAGGGGAAGAACTAAACAAGTTCCAGTGGATAGGACACGCACTGAGAAAACCTGAGAACAATATAATAATAAATCAACAAGTATGAAGTGTTCTGCTCCTCTGGACACACAATATGAACAAGACAAATCCACAAATGTCACTGTAAGGTCGTGTGGCTTACAGGTAAGTGAAGTCATTTCACCATCCACTCCTTGACATGATCAGGGTTCACTTAACCACGATGGGCGGTTTAGAAAAATACTGTTCTCACAGGTTTTTGCCAGTAGTTTGGGAATCACACTGGGGAAGAGACTGCAGTCTCAACACATAATATACTCAAAGTTAGCTACTGTGCTCAACAGGAAAGCACTGTCACAACTACAATGCAGAAGTTCAAGCCATCAAAATAGCAGCAGAGAAACTACTAAATACTGGGTATATTTCACAACCAGTGGTATTCCTGACAGAGGCATAAGCAATACTTTATGCAGATAGCAGCTATGGGATGGATACCACTCCACTGTGGAGTTCCTGAAAATGAAAGCTGATAAACTAGCTAAGGAAGGTGCAAATGAAGAACAACCTGTCGTACCAGTCTCTTATCAACAGAAAAAGAGAATAATCTAATCAATCAGAAAGCTATCAAACTGGCACAAGACAATTACCATATTATGGACAGACCAGAGCAAGTCATTATTCTATGTCTTAGAACAGAACATAATTGACTTTGCAGCCACATGTACACAAAATTTAAAATTGGCGAATCAGCCATGTGCACATGTGGACTGGCACATGAGATAACACATCACATCCTCCAAGACTGCCCCAAAAACAAAATTTCTAGGCAAAACTAGAGACCCAGAGAGAGACAGGTGAAAGCCATTTTTTACAAGTAACTAAGTGAATTACAAAAGACAGTGAAGTTCATACTAGAGGCAGCACTGCAGATATAGATAATTGATTTTAAGCGAATATAAGAAGAAGAAGAAGAAGCTACTGTGCTAATCAACCATGTTCCAGATTCTTCTCTCTGTCAAATGACAAAGCCAAAAGGGAAGAGCTGGCAATACCTCCAATCTCAACAAACAGAGAAAGGCTTAGAAAAGATTTTGAATCTGTTCAACAATAGAAGATTTTGAATCAGTTTAATAAGAGACAGTTTTGAACAGTTTAACAAGAGAAGATTTTGAATCAGTTAAACAAGAGAAAATTTTGAATCAGTTAAACAAGAGAAGATTTTGATCAGTTTAACAAGAGAAGATTTTGAATCAGTTAAACAAGAGAAGATTTTTATCAATTTAACCAGAAAAGATTTTGATCAGTTTAACAAGAGAAGATTTTGATCAGTTTAACAAGAGAAGATTTTGAATCAGTTTAATCAGAAAAGATTTTGATCAGTTTAACAAGAGAAGATTTTTAATCAGTTAAACAAGAGAAGATTGTGAATCAGTTAACAAGAGATTTTGAACAGTTTAGTTTAATTAGAGAATATTTTGAGCCAGTTTAACTAGAGAAGATTTTGAGTCACTTTAACCAGAGAAGATTTTGATCAGTTTAAGGGGTCACGATACTCCATTTTATTTTCAGTTTATGACTAAAATATTGATTTTTCAAACAATTCATTTTTGTGAAGTTCAATATTTATATATCTGAAGTGAAAGCAAGAGGCCGCCCTAGGAGGATATGGACTGATATTAAAGAAGAGCTTCTACATCGACACAGAATGACAATAGCCATTGCTGCCCATCAAGCAGTGGACCGCAAACAGTTCACCTACAAGGCTAAACGGGAGAAGTGGAATTTGATGATGATGATGAACATTCACAGAATCGATTACACGCACAATTTTTCTCAGTTGTAAGCAATTTAGCATTATAGAGTTTCTATAATGATACCCCCCCCCCCCCCCCCCCCATGAAAGATAAAAACATTTTAAACCAAACACAGCAATGTATGACACATAGCAACCGCTGCTTCCAAATAATATACTAGGACAAATTATATATCAATACTCAAACATGACAAAAAATGTCATTCAAACATCACAAACAAATGTTTTACTCAAACACGACAAACAAATATCACCCAGACATGACAAACAAATGTCTTACTAAAAAAACAAAAAGTCTTACTCCAAAACAACATCTAACAAATGTCTTACTCAAACTGTCCAACATCTGTCTTGTACTTGGCTATGGCACTCTGGTACTGTTCGAGTTCATGCTGCTTCACCTTCTGTTTGGCTTGCATTTCTGCAGTGTTCTTCTCCAACATGGCAATCTGCTCCTCTCTCTGTCTTCTGTCAGCTTCATAGTCATGTGAGGCACTGTCAGATACAAGAATTGCTAATTACACACGCAGAATTCAACTCTTAAGTTCAAGAACTTGCAAACAAATGGTACAAAGGAGAAACAACACCTATTTATTGTCATTACCAGAAATCAGAATATTTATCAAGGGAAAATACAAGGAATTGTGGAGAAAACAAACTAACAGCGAACATCCACAAGACTCCATGAGCAGACTCAATGGAAAGCAACATACAACAATTTTCCATCTACAAACAGGCTCAACTACCAAATGCGCAAAATAAAGATTGTAGTCTCCACAGTGTGCCTGTCAAACAGGACCATAAACACCTGAGCACATTCCGCAGACCTGCCCTCTCTACCTACAACTTCGAAGACATCTGGCCCACAGAGCAAAGTGTGTAGATCAAGCTATGGGAAACCATGGAGGACCTGCTGCTGACATTCAAGTTCATAGAGGCTACTCCCTGATCTGAGCATACGAAACCGAATGCAAAGAAGAAGAAGAAGTTTAAGAAGATTTCACTGCATATGTTCCAGAGAGAGAAAAAAAACAGAAAAGAAGAAAATAAACATGAATGTAATACTCTGAAAGTTAGTCGACAGGATAAGCTTTTTTTAAAAATCAGGTTATCTCATTTAACCCACTGACTACCAGCGCCGCACGTTATGCGACGAGGCGACGTTGACTTCTTGACGCCAAGGTCGCACCTCTTGCGATTGTAGCTTTGGACGCTCGCAGTCATGTTAAAATTGCGATTTCTAAGACGCTTTTAGTGGAAGCCTTTAGCTTTTTCAATTCTGCATGATTAATTAAAGGAAATAACTTCATAGTGCTTAAAGTAAAAATTTGACGAACTTTCTCAGTTAGCTCCCATGTCGGTGAAGCATTGACGCAATTTTCATCATTGCGTCAAATTCTCGGAATCATCCTGGTGGTCATATTTCTCCTAATGTTTCTGATGATGCATGTGATCTTTGTTATTTTGCTTTAAAAAGTGAATTTGAAGCACTACTGAGTAGTTTGATGGCTATGACTATGATAAATATAAAGGATTTTTCAGTTGCCTTTTTTTCAACAATCTACAGCCACATGATGATGATTATTATTTCGGACAAAGTAAACCCTATTTTTTCCCTTTCAAATGTGTTCTCGGTTCAATTTTGTGCAAAAATACAAAATATGATAAATGTTTGTTGAATATTTTTTGAAGATATGACATTTTTATTAGTCTATATTGTCAGATACAAGATTTTTCGGTTGCCTTTTTGCACCAATCGTCAGCGGCATGATGATGATGCAAAACAGAATTAAAAATCTTTTTTTCTCTTGAAATTCATTCTACATTCAATTTGGTGCAAAAAATACAAAATATTGTGAGATTATATCAAATAGTTGTGAAGCTGTGGCATTTTTAGTACACACTAAAATACGTTGTATCTGAGGAAATGCAAGGGGTAATGGGCTTGGTAGTCAGTGGGTTAACCTCTCTGTCAATTGAGATAAGGAAGAGAATTCTTAAAAGTTACATAAATCTTATCTTGATATGCGGAAGTAAATCACGGACAGTTGGTAGATTGGTGAAAAGTTATTTGGAAGCTGCGGAAATGTGGTTGTATATACTGACGATGAGAATACCTTGGACAGATAAAAAGAGCTGAGATGTCTTGAAAGAAACTGACTCATGGAGAGAACTGATTTCCGACATCAGCAAGGGACAATCTATATTTTTGGGCCTTGTGATGAGACGGAGAAAACTGGAGTACACTGTGACTGGGGGAGACAGGCAGAGGGAGACAGAGAGAAAAGATGCTCGACAGTGTGACATCATGGCATGGAGGATCATCTGTATTAGAGCTGATTGAAAGTACAAAAGACAGAAGGTTGTGGATAGACAACCAATGCCACACGGAATAGGCTTCAAGAAGATCTCATACAGCTTGGCCTCTCTTCAAAGAATGGTTAGCTGCCTGTCGAAAGCATTGCACAAAGCATGACCTCTGCGGTTTCAGTGACAATCCCCAGGGATCTCTGTCAGATCTGCACTTCATTTATATTACTGTATAGTGCTTAGACATCATCATTATGTGCCTTGCCAGATGGTATTTGTGTCATGTCTCTTCACTATACATCTCACTAAGGTAGCTGATGCTGTGAAACTAAGAGTTTATTAACAGACTATGCGATCTGTGTATTTCATTCAGTCAAAAAAGGTTTATTTTCGCTTCGTTAAATACACATGTAAATTATGTAGTGTGCACGTGATGAGACACCGCGATACATGCTTGACAATCATTTGTGCAATACATTATCTTTGTAGTAAACAAAATAAGTAAAACAATTTTTCTCCTGTCACTGCTACACTGGGTATTATATGATGCCAGTCTAATTTTATTTTATAAAGTGATGATGTAAATAGGGGGTGTAAGTGTATTTAGCATTCCGTTATTAAAGATTTTGGTCGAAATGTATGGTTGTGTTTGTGTGTGTCTTTGAGCTTTCTGGTCACATTTTTTGTTATTTTCAGCATTTCTTGTAATCCGTCGACCAAAGTCCCCCTTATTTACGTCACTTGTGCCGTATTAAGTATTCCATTGATAAAGACTGGTCCCCCCGTGTGAGTTCGGGGCCATATTATAGTGAAAACTAGAACAGACCCACGTGTGCGTTCAAATCTAAACGGAGAGGGACATTTAAAAAAAAAAAAAAAAATGAACTTGGCTCCCAGGTGGATCCAGCCTTAAATGTCTACCGGTAAAGTCATGAGAAGTAAAGGCAGCGGGTGCAATGCTAACTTCATCACCCACCAAGCGTCAACTGATCTATACAAATATAGGTCTAGCACCATATGCCCTATATGCCTGAAGGCATGGAAAGGGATTCTCTACTGACAAACATATCTGCTGACACATTTATATTATAATTTATTGCACCAAATTCGCTGAGAAGCAGAAAAGGAAATGGTTTGGTTATCTGATTAGAATGCAGCCCCCCCCCCCCCCCCCCCCCCCCCCCCCCCCCCCAAAAAAAAAACCTCCCAGTACAGGCACAATAACTAAGAAGATCTGGCATGAAAGCAAGAAAATATCCAAGAAAAGCAGATGGACTGATAAAAAATGGTATTCTACACCCACTTGTCAATAGCCAAAGCTACCCATTAAAAAAAATGGTTTACAAACTGTTCCTCCCAATAATGCTTAACGGTGAAAGTGGAAATTGTTAATGATAACAGACAGAATAAAACAATGGCAAACACCAAGATAGATATTTGTAGCTAGTTTTAAACACATTAGGAAAAGAATTAAAGGTTCTATATGAATGTTAAAAACAGGATTACTTGCCTAGTTTTCAGTTCTTCAATTCTGTCCTGGCATTGCTGGCATTCTCTGGTTGTGCTCTTCAACTCTCGTTCCACTGTTTTCATCTGATTCTAACCAAATAAACAGTAGGGGAAAAAAAGTTAAATACTTCTTTCCACGTTTTGATGCACACTGAGTATAGGGTGCTAATTAAATTACAGTAACTGTTTCCTAGTGTGGGCTCTAGCCCTCCCCTACCCCAAGCATGTCATAAAAGGCAACTTATGTGGGGTTTTCTTTCTTTCGAAGTCAGAGTGCATCTGCCCAACAGGTGAGGATCCAATAGACTGCATTCAAAAAAAGTCAGAACTGTAAAATAGATGTGCAAATAAAACTCAAGTTCTAGAAGAAGACCAAAACCCAGAAGTGGAGGAACAACCAGAACTTTCCACTAGTTTACAGCCGCTGAACGCGAAGAAGAAGAAGAAAAGTTGGCTGAAATCACAAGTGTTGCATTAAGAGACACCGATATCACAGCCTAGCTATAAACCATAACAAAATGTGCCAACCACCCTTGTACGGGTGAACACAGAAGAATATGATTTTGCTGATAACACTTCGACTGCTAACTAACCTTACTTTCAACACTACAGGATTCACTAACCGTAATTTGTGCCGCTCTGTCTTTGGCCCGGTCACGTTCTCCTTTTTTAGCTTGCAGAAGTGGTTCGAACACTTTAATCTCTTTACTGTAGTCAATCAACCGCTGTTGCAGCTCTTTATGTTCAGCCTCACACTGCTTCTGCTTCACCTGAAAGCGAAACAAGCACCTTAATGGCTATACAAATCTACGACTACAGTGAGTATATAACTCAATGGCTACACATTTAAACAGCTACATACTTAAATGGTTACAGACTTTATGGCTATTCACCTCAATGGCCATAATATTTAGGCTTTAAAATGTTGTCACACCATAATTTCTTTCCCATCCACCAGAAAAGTTTCAATATGTGACCAGAATATGTTAAACTACCCTAACCCTAGAAACAAATTGGTACTAGATCACCAACCCAACATTCCAAAACAAGGGCAAAATTATATGAGTTGCTCTATGCAAATATACAGTTTTTCCTTTTTTTTAAACTGCCCCCCCCCCTTTTTGCCCATATTATACACTAACCATTTGTACAACTTTTTATGCTAGGAAAAACTTTTCATTCAAACAAAATACCTCTAATTTTGAGAAATAAATTACTCTGCAAAATAATGAAATTATAATTCACTGATACACTAAGAAGAAGAAAACAGATAATTGTTCAATGAGTAGAGAAAAGAAAAAGAAAATGCTGGTGTGCTGGGAGATGAGCATACAGATAGACTGGCTGGTTATGCACCACTTGGTGGCAAACTGATGTATGGCAAGCTAGATGTTGTGAGGGCCCTCTGAGAGCAAGTCAACAGTGCGGAAGTGCAAAGAGATCATCACGGTCTGAGGAAAATGGCGCTGAGAGGAGTTGCCAGGGCATCTGGCCGATGCTCAACACTTAAGGGAAAAGCGAGACGGATATACAATCAAACAGTTATTGGTGCCATTGGAATTTGAACTCTTCGTTTGCTGCTGAAGATGGAGGATGGAGCACATATGAGAGTGTCCCAAGTGCTATGATGTCGATTCTCAATTCAACATTCAACAGAAAATGAAGAAGTCTCACCTTTGCTTCTTCCACTTTATTATTAAACAAAGGAAGTGCTGCCTCTTCAACCCGCAGGTTCTTCTCCAGTGGCTTCAGGTCCTTGAGAAAGAAAAGATAAAACGATTTTTTGGTCAAAATACTCAATTATCTGGCATCCACGAGAGTGGATATATGTTTCTTCCTGGCTTCTGCTCCGAGGAAAATCACACTTAGCGTATTTATCTGTTCGCTAGCATCTTTCCATCCTTGTCCACTGTTCATTTTAAGATCATCTTTATCACACAATAGACATGACCATACGTGCTCTGATCTCCTCTTGAGTGTCTCCAAGTGATTTTAGACTCCCATCCTTCCAGACAACAGGTTTGTAATGTGCTGTAGGGTGGCATGAGAATCACACCCCATAGAGATGGTTAGTGTGACCAGCAAGTCCCACTAACATGAACTCTTTCAGTCCTAAGGAACGCATTATATGTTCAGAGGTTCCTACCCACAAGTCCAATGAACATGAAGATGTGCCAATTTTATGTCTCTCTTTACTACTCTACCCCGTGGGCCTCTTATGCTACTCCCCCCCCCCCCTCTCCTCTTTCTTCTTTTGTCGCCATGGCCTGTATTTAATGTGCTTCTTCTCAGACCCTCTATCTGTAGTCCTTTTCTTCTTTATCCCTATTCCCTTCTTGATTTTCCTCCTCCATGCAAAACTGTCCAAGGAATCCTCTTCCCACTAATCCAGCTCATTATCTGTATTATTCATGTCCCGCTTATTTTCATTTGCACATCAATTAAGGCCGGGGGTGAAGTTCCACCTCTCCATAATACCAAGCCTGGGAAGTATTGCAGAGACCATGTGTTTCCCAGTAGCAAAATCTCTCTCTCGGCCTGCCTGTTAACTCCAAAGCAAAGGTAACATCAATACATTTGGAGTAAACTGGAATAAAGTATGCTGCAGAAGCTGCAGGATTAGAACAGCAGTCCTCTGACCATCCATCTGGTGGAGCTTCTCACCTGGACGATCTGCCAACCAAGGATAAGGGCCTGGTCTGCCCTCCATAACATTAATTTTTCAAGTTACATTTCTTGTTCCTATGTTAAGACAAGAAGCCTCCTTGATATGCTTCTCCGCACTGAGCTGTTGGCAGAATGTGGAACGGCAGGTTTGGTACCCACCACCCAACATTCAGCACTGATAGAGAACAGGTACTATGAACTATTCACGATAGCTCAGTCACATCTAGTTATATTCTCAGATGTAATTAGTGATGACATCATGAGCTGCCCTGACCGACCCTCTTCTTCACTGACATTTCTTCTCACAGAACAAGTATGGTACCCATTTTACCAAATCTGTCTGTACAGGTGGAACCTATTACCTACCACTAATTCTTTTTTGTTCACTGGCTGTAAGCTCCAGTGTAAAGTGCTGGTTGCTCATCCATCTGGACTCTGACTTTGAGCCAGGGCCTGAGTTTTGCGTGTACATCCGTTTTACTGGCTTATTTGTGTGAAGCTGGTTGTTCCTTGCCGCTCTGGCAGATTCACTCCGACTTCAAAAGTAGCTCCCAATTAGTCAACTCGTACAACATGCTTTTTTTGGAAGGCAGTTGATCTATTCTTATTTTTCTCACAATAGGGTCCTTGAAATTCACTGCTGCAAATATAATTTGCCTCTATCCACCTGTAGGACTGGCATTCTTTTTCCCAATTGGTGAGTCTAAGTGTTTGTAGGTCTGCCTGTATATCTTCACTATTTTCTTGGTCTATCTTGTGGTCTACCCACATTAAACTCTTGTATACACTATCTTTGCCTCTGCTTATCTGCCATTCTCTCTATATGCCTTAATCATTTCAGTCTACTAGCCCTCATGATGCCAGTAATCAGGTGCGATTCAAACGGATTATGAATTTCACTGTTACTTCACTATTCATTCTCTATTTGCATCTCTGATCGGTCAAAAAATATGTTGTAAGACTGTTCTCAAAAGTTTGCAATAAGGTTTTGTCTCTTTTAGTTGTACTCTAGGTGTCAAAGTCAGACAACTCAATTAGTCTAATCAGCATTCTATATACACTGATCTTGGTGTTACGAGACAAAGCATTTGATTTTAATAGAAGTTGTAAAGCATAGTATATCACAGATGTATTATAATATCAGGCATGTCAAACTTGCGGCCCTTTGCATGTATTTGTTTTTTTAACTGACTTTAATTAGTTGTCGTGTGTGGCCCTCATGACTAATGTGACCCATATGGCCTTTCGGAGGACCCTCAGTTTGGCATGTCTGTTCTATATTGCATTTCTTCTCTTAGTATGCTGGACCAGTTGAAGTGTGTACCCAAGGAATTATGCAATAAACAATATGAGACTGAATTACAGAAAATACATATAGAAAGCACATAAAAAAATGAGACGAGCATACCCTTTCCATTTGAGCCACCTCCGCCCAAGCCATCTCATGTTTGAGTGTCCTGACTTTGGCTTTCAACTCTGACACAGCTGCCAGATTTCGGAACTTGTTCTCCCATGCTGCCACCTCACTTCTCATTGCAGGAAGAGTCTAAAGATTACATATTCTTTTAAAACTATACATAAATATAAAAACTCAAATGTTGTTACATAACAAACATAGTATTAGGGTTATAAAAGTACCTTCAAAAGGTACCTCGATACAGTGGTACCTCGATAGACGTCTTAACAATACATTCCAAATCCTTGGACCTTTACCAAACAGGGCGTATACCAAACAAATGTTCTTATCAAAAGACAGGGAGAAGGATTGATCTGTCCTCATGAAAAAAGAATCCTAATGTTATTGCCGTACTATACATAGTTGGGAGGTGAATAAATTAAACACTGCTTAATACTAAAATACATGAATATAAAATAAATTAGATGAAATAAATGAAAATTTTACATTGCTTTACCTTGCTACTATGATGGTATTGAGAAGGAAGGAGGAGAGATGTTATTGCCTGGAAGGAGAGTCACACCCCCCCCCCTCCCAAAAAGTAATCCTTCCAGAAATTGTTGTGATTTTGCTCTTTCTCTCTCTTTTCTGTGTGTGTGTCTCTCTCTCCCCTATCTGGACCTGGTTCAAGCTCACTAGGTTTGACTTTTACTAACAATATGTCAAAGAACTCTGCTTCTGTCTTCTCCCTGAGAAGTTTTGGAAATGTGACACTATCTGGTCATACCAGACAATGCTATTGTGACTTGTTTGGGCTATGACAGGGGGATGGGGGGTGGTTCTAAAGAGTTTTTGACACCCATCCATTAGGAAAACTTTTCCTATAAAAACACAGGTCCAACGGCGTAGAAAAAAAAGGTCCTTTTCTTACTCTAACACTTGCTCACATATAAAAAACGCAAACCCTTCTTATATTCGTCTTTTTCTTTATGTTCACCCGCCCTAAACTTTGGTGGAAAATGTTCTGGTTGTCTGTCCACTTCTGGACTTAATCTTGTGCTAGAAACTGAGCGTTGCATGCCCACCTTGTTTTTTTAATTTTTTTTTATTTACAGATTTGGCTTATGTGTTTGCAGACTATTGGTTCCTTGCCTCTCAGGCAAATGCACTCCGACTTCCAAGGATGCCCCCAATTAGTCAACTTATATGACATGCTTGCTGCAGAGGTAGTGGGTCTAATATTGTTTCCCCCGTAACCTACACGGGGAACATTTCTTATGATTTACCTGTTCCTTAGACTCGATCAGCTGCCTTGTGAATTCTTTATTCTTCTGAACTTGAATATAATCAGCATTCATTTGTTCCAACTGTGTTGCCTTCATGAAGAACTACAAATGATAAAGAACATAAATTTGTGACAAATTAAATAGAATACAATAAGAAGCCAAATGACATGCGTTGAAATTTCATAAACCCATCTAAGAACCACTATGGATGCATTTATAGTCAAAAACTGACTTTGTTTATTATCCAGCAACATATACCAATAAAGCAAAGCTTGTCTCTTCCTTAATCTTAGCAGTCAAAGATTTTTTTTTTTTTTTAAGATTACTCAAAATTGTATGCTTCAAATTGAGCAGTGACCACTATTCATTATATATATTTTTGATTTTTTTCCATGCATATTTCTGCATTTTTAGTTTTGTCTTTCAGGATCTTTCAGGCATTAATTTTGCCAACTTAAATTCTGTTTATGTTTTTCATCCATATGTGAATTAATTATTCGTTTTTAAAAATTATTTTAGTTCTGTAGTCAGGTAATCTTGTGTTTATGTTTGTTGATAAAGACTCTGGTCAAAATATTTACTTGAATCTGTGTGTCCTGCCTTTTACTTAGCTTCTTATTTTTATATATATTTATATATCAACAAACATATATATATATATATACACACACACACATATATTTATATATTTTTTTTTACTTCATTGTTCAGAATAATCTTTAACTGTGATCACATCGATTTCTAATATCACAAAAGACTTGTTCTGACTGTCACCTCACAACATTATTATCCTGTTTTGCCATTATGTTACATATGTCTTCGCAGTCTAGTTTACAATCTGTTCTAGCCTGTGCAATCCTTTGAATATCACGGATGGAATCCAGTCAAGCATCTCTGACCTCTCTCAACATTCACTGTAGCTGTCTCTTGGACATCCTTGTTTCCTCTACCCATCTGATTCCTATTTCAGTGCCTGTTAGTGATTCCCTGCCCACTTCTCACTATGTGTGTGCACAATATATCGTCAACACATGAGTGGGGAGGGGGGGATATGTGTTTACATGCAGTTACATACCTTAAACTTATCTCCTGGGGGGAATCAGTGTTTACATGCAGTTACGTACCTTAAACTTATCTCCTGGGGGGAATCAGTGTTTACATGCAGTTACATACCTTAAACTTATCTCCTGGGGGGAATCAGTGTTTACATGCAGTTACGTACCTTAAACTTATCTCCTGGGGGGAATCAGTGTTCACATGCAGTTACATACCTTAAACTTATCTCCTGGGGGGAATCAGTGTTCACATGCAGTTACATACCTTAAACTTATCTCCTGGGGGGATATGTGTTCACATGCAGTTACATACCTTAAACTTATCTCCTGGGGGGAATCAGTGTTCACATGCAGTTACATACCTTAAACTTATCTCCTGGGGGGAATCAGTGTTCACATGCAGTTACATACCTTAAACTTATCTCCTGGGGGGAATCAGTGTTTACATGCAGTTACATACCTTAAACTTATCTCCTGGGGGGAATCAGTGTTCACATGCAGTTACATACCTTAAACTTATCTCCTGGGGGGAATTAGTGTTCGCATGCAGTTACGTACCTTAAACTTATCTCCTGGGGGGAATTAGTGTTTCCATGCAGTTACATACCTTAAACTTATCTCCTGGGGGGAATTAGTGTTTACATGCAGTTACATACCTTAAACTTATCTCCTGGGGGGAATCAGTGTTCACATGCAGTTACATACCTTAAACTTATCTCCTGGGGGGAATCAGTGTTCACATGCAGTTACATACCTTAAACTTATCTCCTGGGGGGAATTAGTGTTCACATGCAGTTACGTACCTTAAACTTATCTCCTGGGGGGAATTAGTGTTCACATGCAGTTACGTACCTTAAACTTATCTCCTGGGGGGAATTAGTGTTCACATGCAGTTACGTACCTTAAACTTATCTCCTGGGGGGAATCAGTGTTTACATGCAGTTACATACCTTAAACTTATCTCCTGGGGGGAATTAGTGTTCACATGCAGTTACATACCTTAAACTTATCTCCTGCAGATTTTGTGTTGAGGAAGTTTCGACTGGTGTCCTGGTTCAGGATTGAAACTGGGTTGTCCACCTGAATGTTTAAATGATCAATGATACGGGACAGCTCATCTCGTTTTGTTGATATCCGTTGACCTGTTATGAAAAATATGGGAGTTGTTAACAAACAACCATTAAAATTGTAGTTTTAAAAAAAAAACAGAGAGAGAGAGTGAGAGAGAGAGACACAGAGAGAGAGAGAGAGAGAGAAATTGGCAGCCAAAAATATACTAATAAATAGCTAATTTAAATAAAAAACAACACATAGACACATGAGGCTGACAAAACAGAAAAATGACACAAGTAGTGTCTTCACTAAATGAGGTGTCTGAAGAGAAGAGATAAAATCAGGAAGGAGGTCATACGAGATAAAGTCTACACAGAACCAATTCTAAATTACATAGAAAGACAGCAAATCAAATGGTCTGCCCTCTTAGAGGAAATGCCTTCTGATGCTATACCATTCAAGGCATACACCAAAAAAGGAGGGGGATGTAGAGCAACAGGTAGACCAAGAACAATATAGAAGGATAACATCAGAGAAACTCTACAGTACCAGTGTGTCTTTGGTCGAAGCAGTCAGAAAAGCACAAAGCAGGACCTTATTACTCCCTCGACACCAAAGCGGTAAAAAAGGACATAAAGAAGAAGTGTCTTTACTCTTAATCCGTTAATGGGGTTAAATGGTAATTTAGCTGCACCCAATTACTTCCATAGTAAGTATTTGTTTTCCAGACTGTCAGCATCGTATGGTAATGTTTATAAAATGAAGAAATTTCAATGTTAGGTTAAATTTCTTTTTATTTGTTACTTTTCTCAAATTAATTCTTTTTCTTCTTCTTGTTCAGCATGCCAAGCACTTGAGGTTCATTACTGTAGCTATCACCTGCCTCCATTCGCCTCTTGACTGGCCCTTTTCTTTCCAGTTGGCGATTGGAGGTGTTTGTAGGTCTGCTTGGATATTATCTCTCTACTGCCTTCATGGTCTTTGGCCATTCAACTTCCTTGTGTACAGTTGTTGGCCTCTCTGTCATCTACCCTTCTCTCTATTTGCCTAAGCAATTTCAGTCTATTAGACCCCATGACACTAGTGACCAACCGTTAAATTAACAGATTTATAATTTCCCTTTTGCTTAATTAAATTTGTAATTACTGTTAAGAAAAACAAAGCCTTTCTAAAATGTCATACTTTTCTGAGGGAGGAAGAAACAACTGATTTCCTTTATGAGCAATATTATGTGTGTTCAGACTCATTCAAAATTTTTTCAAAAATGAAAATTCAGATCAAAGTCTTTATTTCATCTACTGTACAACGTTAGATAGTTTCTTCTGCTTCGTTGAGTAATTTCACAACTATTTCAACTATAAGACACAAAATCGTTTGTTAAATGTGATCGGTGTCTAAAGGGGTTGGGATACATGTCCTGTGTTATAACTCTTTGCAGCATGCGAACCGAAGATTATAATACCCAATAACTATTGAAGTTATGCGTCTTACAATAATTTTATCTCCATACACATCAGGTTTGTAACTGTCTTTTCCTTTGTTGTTCAAACATATCTCCACCCAAGCAGAACTGAAAAGAAAGAGTACAGATATAGAGTAGTACCTATGCACAGCCTGCGCTACAAAAATACACTCTCTGTTGGTACCTTTTTTGTCTCACCTGAATATGACTTAATGGAGAGGCATGAGAATCATGGACAATTAGGGCCAGGGATAAAGTTAATCCTTTCCATAGCCTAAAGCTTGCAGAGACCTTGTGCTGCCCATGCAATATGACTCTTCTCTCTGTCTGCAGTGCTCTGTAAGTCTGCCTACAAGTATACACATGTTTTATATTCCTTTCATGGTGCTAGTAACATTTTCCGGCTCAGAAAGAGAGACTCCAGAAAGACATTCTTTCTTATTTATGCCTCGTTGTGTCACAGAGCAGTGTCCTATGTTGCCGTAGTGTCACGCTTAGTAAGCAGTCAGTAGAATGTAACATTTTTCTCGTCTGCAACCGGCTATCTCATGTGTTCTATATTCCACGGTGTGATCGAATTTAACAGTCCCAAAACATGTTGAACTGGCCCTAACCCCACAGCCTCAGTCCATGACTGCATGCAGCCTATAATATACACTGCATACAGTCTTGCAACCTAGGCTGCAATAGAAGAAATAAAAATGTGAGAAAGATCCTTTTATCTTGCTTCTGTAGATTAAAATTGTAATGAAAACATATATGAAACAATGAAGAATGTCTGTTTTTTCTCTCTCCAGGCTGCTACCTAAAGATGCAATCAACTTTGTCTTCTTCTTTGCGTTTACAGGTTGTGAAAGTTCTGGTTGTTCATCCACTTCTGAACTTTGGTCTTGTTCCAAAAAGGAGTTTTGCATGTACATCCATATCACAGATCTAGCTTAATTGTTTTGTGACATGCTTTTTAGGAAGCAGTGGGTCTATCCCCACCTCCCATAATAAGGCTCTGGAACCCACATAGGAAGCCCTGTGACTTCAAAATTAACATTTCTGAGAGCAATCCAACCAGACAAATTGTAAATACTGTGTTCAACCTCCTAAGAAGTTCCCACAGGATGGCTTCACCAAGTACCTTGCAGTCCTGTGCAGGTAAGGATGTCAGGTAAACAAGCACTGTGCCGACCAAATGACACAACATGGTAATAAATTAATATTTTCACAAAAGCCAGCCTACAATGAATGAGAACATAAACTGGTATAGAGCCTATGTCAAAGGCAAAAGAAGATGGCACATTAAGTTAAGAATAAAGACAAGGTCAACAAGCTGGGACTTTGGGTAGATTTTTAGCTCCAAATTTTGCCAGGGCAGTGCGGTTAGGCTACTCTTTATAATTTCCAACTGCCAAGGGATTTTTTTACGTGCGCATCAATGCACATACGACGTCCGAACTCACTATCCAGAGACTAGGGGGGATTACTAAAGTCCAAGTCCACGTGAAAAAGTCCCAGCCTTTACCCGGTATTGAACCCTGAACCACTAGCACTCGAGTCGGACACCATGCCTCGAGACCACACAGCCTCCAAATGACCACTGTGGTGCGATATGTGATTAACTGCACGTGTAACTCCTGATCTATAGTGACTGCTGCTTCCATCAACAATGAACTGTATTTCTAGTGTTGGACCTCTTGTGGTGGCACTTCTGGCAGCTGCTTTCTGCATTTAATGCATGTGCATGCTGTTGGTTTTGCTAAGACGGCAGTCCGTGTCAATTTCTTTCACAAGGGATGAGGATGGACATTCTGTGTGGTTTTTCATTGGCACTGGAACAGATCAGCTATGGGTTGACCCGTTTGCTATGAAGTTGTAACTGCAATTATCTGATTACCAGACACCATCAAGATGATATCACTAGCATGTTACCATCAAAACAAAATACTTACTTCCATTTCTTCCCACGATGAAATTGACATGGCTGCCAAGGCTCACCTCCAAACGGCTGTGGCACATAAAATTATTCATGCTAACACGTGTGATCACTCCAACTAATGGCTGTGACTGGATAACAAAAGATAAAAAATTATGTTAAGTCAACAAACAATTGCTAATCTTAACTGCTAATCAACGAACAATCATTAATCTTACCCATCATCAACAAACAATCATTAATCTCACGCACCATCAACTAACAATCATTACCCGTATGCATCATCAACAAACAATCATTAGTCTTACCCATCATCAACAAACAATCATTAATCTTACCCATCATCAACGAACAATCATTAATCTCACGCACCATCAACTAACAATCATTACCCGTATGCATCATCAACAAACAATCATTAGTCTTACCCATTATCAACAAACAATCATTAATATTACCCATCATTGACAAACAATCATTCATCTTACCGATCATCAACAAACAATCATTAATCTCACCTGTCATCGACAAACATTCATTCATTAATCTTACCCATCATCAACAAACAATCATTAATCTCACCTATCATTGACAAACAATCATTAATCTTACCCATCATCAACAAACAATCATTAATCTCACCTATCCCCGTGTGGGTTCCGGGGCCCCATTGTGGGGAAAACAAGAATAGACCTACTGCCTCCCCAAAAGCATGTCGTAAGAGTCGACTAATTGGGGAGCTTCCTTTGAAGTCGGAGTGCATCTGCTGGAGAGGCAAGGAACCAACAGTCTGTATTCAAGAGAATGAGATCTGTAAAACTAATGCACACGCAACACTCAGGTTCTGGATCAGGACTGCAGTTCAGTAGTGGACGAGCAACCAGAACCTTCCGCCAGAGTTTACAGCTGGTGAACGCGAAGAAGAAGAATTAATCTCACCTATAATTAACAAACATTTATTAATCTTACTCATAATCGACAAACAATCATTAATCTCACCTATCATTAACAAACACTCATTAATCTTACCCATCATTGACAAACAATCATTAATCTCACCTATCATCGACAAACATTCATTAATTTTACCCATCATCAACAAACAATCATTAATCTTACCCATCATTAACAAACATTCATTAATCTTACCCATTATTAACAAATTATCATTAGTGTCGGAGCCTGGGGCTCAGGCACCCCTTGAGCCCACCATACTCCCCCAAACTTTAGGGGTGGCTAAGCCCCCCCCCCCACCCCCCCCCCCCCCCCCCCCCCCCCCCCCCCCCGCAAAAATGTTTTAGTGGCTTCCTTAACCATGTATAGATGTTATCTTTTAACTCTTTTAGTACCAAGGAACACACTATATATTGATTTATAACTAATTTTACTGTTCTCAGGTAAAAAGTAAAGTATTTGTTTATAATGTCACATTATTTCAAACATATTACATTCATTTCCCATTCAGCTTATGTCATAATTATTGTAAGTTTAAACAAAGCTTATGCCACTGCAGTAAAACTTTAGAAAATTCAACTGAACTCAAATCCATCTGGACAATTTAAAAAAAAAAAAATGAGGAACAAAAATAAATAGACTCGCTGTCACAGGAAACATTATGATGACCCTAATGATTTGTGTGTGTGTATGTGTGTGTGTATTCAAATTAGAAAAAAGCTTATTTAAATAGGGCAGTTGCCATGTGTTACCTTTTCAACTGACAGCAGCGATGATTCAACTAGAGAGCTCTGAAATAAGAAGACAAAATTGTTTTATTTTACAAAATAATATACAAGAAGCTATAGATTTCTAACCTAGTAACGTAATTGGATTCTTTTCCCCATCCAGTGCAGTTCTAAAATCAAACCAACCACTTTAACTTTTTAAGTTCCAGAAAAATTTACTGCCAGGTGGAACTGTAACATCAATGAAAAAAAAAAAAATGCATGAGAGTATTCTGCCAACCCAAATCAGTAAACGGACAACAGAAATTAGACAGACAGTCAAATTGTTATGTGAAGGAAAGGACTCGCGAACTTGGTGAAAACTGGCAAGACTGATGGAAAAAGAATGAGAAGGCAAAGAGATAATAAAAAATACCTGGATAGTTTGACCAAATGGAATTGGAGAGGTGAGAGCAGCGACCTGATCCATGAGAGGTAGCAAAACTTTATCTCCGACAGCCTGGGGCACATGATGTTGATGATTATTGCCAAAGAGGCATATACTGCTAAATGTTAAAATATCTAGCCAGAATTATCCAGCACGCTCAGACCAAATGTTAAATATTTAATAACATACAAAGCACTGACAACAGCTGATCACATACGGTCTGCTGTTTGAGATAAAGAGGTGAACTGATATCAGAGATAAGCCTGGCAAGGAAAAGTAGCAACAATAAGAGTAGTATATGTGAACTAATATTAATATCATCATCATCAAGTACTTTGCCAAATGTGTAATTAGGGTGGCAGATATCAAGATAGGATGGGAAATATAACCTTTATATGTCCTGTTTTCTTGTACAACAAGAAATAAAGATGTGTTTTGTAAACTGCATATTCAGAAAATGGCAAGTAGCTGGCTGCTACAGCAATTATAAATAGCAATTATAGTGGTAGACTGTAGGCGGTGACACATCTGGCAGTTGCTTTATGCATTTGATGTATGTGCAAGCTGCTGGATTTTGCTAGGACTGTTGTGTGTTTAACTTTTCACACAGGACACTAATGGGGATTTTGTGAGGTTTTCAATGGTACAGGAACAAAGTAAATTTGAGGTGACCCGTTTGTGAATCCTCTGGGATCTAAAAGTACTTTTCTGACAACTATCAGTAGCTTTAAACGGAAGTGTGTAAGTCAACAATTATGCTTCTCTTTGATCCCCAACAGCAGATGTAAATGCTTCTCAACATACTGGTTTAATTATCTCCCTAACTAGCGCAAATTCTAGTTAGCATTAAAGGACATTGCAAAACTAGCCTCAGCATTTCTAGGCTGTGTCTGGTTTTACTAGGCAATTCTGTTTAGGTTCAGTAGTTTGCCATTGCTTACTGAACAGTTGGTTCTTAATACACTTGCTAAATTCAAAGCAAGTGAGGAAGGGGTTGCGGGGTGGGGGGTCAAACAGGGCAACTGGGAATTAAGGAAGTGTGTTCATAAGGTCTAAACGACAGGCAACGACACTGGCATAATACTAACCATTTCAATAAATGTAGCAAAATACACCTGCAGTTATACACACCAATCGAACCACAATTTCTTTGCATCTTTCAAATTTCAAAGAGAAACTTTATGTTTAAAAAAAAAAATACCTCAACAATGGATCCTTGTGAGTCTGAATGGTTATTTTGGTTTTCATTCTCGGATTCTTCATCAGACATGCCACACTCTATCCTTCGTCTTTTAGTCTTAACAGACATGTCACTTTGGGATATATGTCGTCTGGACATGTTTACCAGATGTTCGTGATCACTGTCAGAATACACATTTTATTAATGCAGACACAATACAACCAGAGAATACAAATTTACAGGTATCATCAGGGTGGTATACATAAAGACACACACATATACACACTAAAATCGCCCATATTCTAGAGGGAAAGTCATGCAAATGTATCCCCAAAAAAAAAAAACATTCCACTTATTGGAGAAAGAAACAAATTCTATATAAAACATGTAGAACGAAGTAGGCACTTGCTTTTAAATCAACTTAAAGATGTGGTTTCTGGGAGTGGTTTGGGAGCAAAACTTGGTGAAACCGATTGGTATCATTTTCGAGGTCAAAATAGGAGACCTTTTAACCAACCTCTCATGGGAATCAGCAGAAGTACCTTGCAGTGGCTGCTTCATAGGAGAAATGAGCACACATGGGAATGCTGAATGTACAATGATAGTGCTTTTTTTTTACCATGAGTCTCAGAGTAACTAATAATCACTGACTTTGCTTAGGAAAAAAGAAATTATGGAAAGTTTATATCATGTGCAACCATGAGAAAGAAATATAGCTATTTAGAAATGTGATGAGAAGAGTGGCATTGGAAAACATTTTGGATGCTGGAAAATTAAAGGCAGGACTGTCAGAGAGAGAGAGAGAGAGAGAGAGAGAGAGAGAGAGAGAGAGAGAGAGAGAGAACCAAAAAAAGAGAGAGAGAGAGAGAGAGAGAGAGAGAGAGAAGAGAGGGGGAGAGAGAGATGATGCTACACTGAATAATGTAGTGGCATAGAAGAATATCTATAAATTAATGTAGCAGTTAAAGACACCATGCCAATCAGCGTGCCACATAGCTGCAACTTTGCCGATCTCAACACACAAGGGGTGAAACAAGGTTCATTCCAGAAAATCACTCTGACAGCATTCTAAAGTCCAGCTTATGATCCACCACATTCAAAAAAAAAGTTTCCGAGCTCCCACAGAACAAAACATCTTATTGAAACTGACACGCACCAAGTTCCTGAGATTCGAACAATTCATGCACACTTCCATAACCAAATACATTTAGACTGACCCACTCTACCACGGGATCATCCCATGTTCTGTCGGTCCACGGATTTCACAACATCCATGAGGGAGCCTAGTGATATGTCCACAAGCTGGTCATGAACTTCAAGCAATTCATGTTTCCCCAGCTGCAAGTGGCTCACACTCTTTTCCAGTGACCCCAAATGTTTACATTAATTACGTCCACATCCCGTCAACACAGCATGAAAACCCATGTGTACCTATGCTTCATCACCAAATTCTGGCTTCAATAACTCTTTACACACCAGAGACTTTCGCACACAACACTATAAATATAACATCAATGTGAAATTGAAATTAAGTAAAATTATAGCCCGATAAGCAATACTGATACTTTCTTGTCTAGTTATATAAACCCCAATATTCAATATTGTGTGAATACTGTGGCATCCAGTGGTGCTTTCTTGGCAATTATTTTAGTCTTTCATTTGATCCCTGAAATTCATGCATGCAGAGGAACATAAAAAAACCAATATTATGAAAGTGCTGCAAATGTTGGTTATGATGCTTTTTCTGGAACATGACTGATTTTTAAATGTGCAATGAAATATTTTTAATTAACTAAAGGGAAGGTTTAACCTACACTAAACTATTGGGCTATCCTCCGAATAACGGTGGGTAAAGATGGCGGCCGCAAAATACCCTTTCGAGCCACAGTCACATGTTATTGCGCCCTTCCAGTGACTTAATTTGCAGTTCTCTGGCGACTACCACCACGAGTCCCCCACACCGCTCACGCGGCGTGGATTGGGGTTAAACTAGATGGCTTCAGGAGATGCGGAAGCTGCTGCTCGTGGGTCTTAGCCATCTAGTATAGCCCCAATCCCCGTCGCGCGAGCGGCATGAGGGACTCGTGGCGGTGGTCGCCGGAGAACAGCAAATAAAGTCGCCGGAAGTGCGCAACTGACACGTGACTGTGGCTCGAAAGGATATTTTGCGGCCGCCATCTTTACCGACCGTTATTCGGAGGATAGCCAACTATTGTTCTGCATAATCTGTGTTGTGAAAATGGAGTTATACAATACAGTAGCTGAGGGTTGAAAGTAAATCAAACAAGTCTATAAATATTATTACTATATTATTAAATATATTATTATCAGTAGTACCCACACGCACTCACACATTACAAAAAGAAGAGGATCATCAACACAACAGCAGCACTGTCTACTCTACAGCTCCAACTCCAAGGAGTTTATGGTAAAGTTTATCCTAAACTGTAATATTACATTAATAATTTTAAATTATTCTTAGCTTACCAGTTTCCTTTGGTCTTTAAAAACTCTTTAGGACGTCTTGAATTATGTTGTTACCTTCCTGAAGCCACTTTAAGCTCACAATACGCACATAATTAAAAAAAAAACCAGTTGTAATAAATAGTTGTTTATAAACTACACTACTATGCTATAAGTTATATAACAATTCTCGGTTGTGATTGTGAGCATTCTCATTCAAGTACTTCCACTTTCGGTTTGTGTACTTTGTGTAACTGTACTGTTGTCAGTGCTAGCGGCGGCTAGCCGGAATAGAAGAATGGAACACGGAACACTCAACTGTTTCTCTTCTTAGTAAGTTGAAGTTCCATACAGTTCATTGTGTTATCACATTGTATTTTTGTGAATAATCTAAATAAATCATGTACGACTACAAATAGTAAATTAAAAAAACCACTGCCTTATTCCACTTCGTGTGTAAACTGTAAGAAGGTTACAATCCTTTTTGGATCTGCTCAAATAGCGCCATTATTACGTTTGAAAACACGGATTCGTCAAGTCTACGAATGTAAACATATTTTTAACGAATTATCATAACATTTCACGCCAAGCCAAATGTTGACTTGCGGATTTGGTACCTTTCCGTATTTCCAGACGAATGCTAGGAATAAAGCCAGTCTTACAAGTCATCAAAGAACAATAAAAAAAAGTGGTTTGGACACCTAACAAGAATGCCCTGGTACTGTCTACCACAGCGAGCCAAACTGAAACCTTACAACGGGTATAGAGCGAGCGGAAGACCTCTGATAAAAAGGGGTGATGGCATTAAGAACAACCTTACAGAAATGAACATCAGTCTTAATAGGGCTCTTTACAGAACTCATCAACGAATGTTACATCTCTTCCCCAAACCTCACTGAGGTAAAAGGTGGAAGAGAAGAAGAAGTGTTATACTGTGTTGCAGGGAAGCATGGGAATCCAGGCCATGGCGAGTGTGACTGTGGCGAAGTAGTCAAGCCGTTTGCCTCGCGCTCTGAAGGTCGTGGTTTCGTTTTACGGCGGCGCCGTTCAGTTCACAAGTGCAGTGTTTATGAAGATCCTTGAGTATTGTCGCCGGAGCTACGGAGGTCGTGCTCTGTGCGACGACCCCGACAGGCAGATCTCTATTCTGCGGAGAGAGACTGAGCCGTATGGGGTAAAACCAGGTGCAATGAAGTTGATCCTCTCACCTTTATCGTTATTACTAACAAGACCCGCCTGAGTTAAGAAATGTCTTCCACAATGAGAGCATGGAACCGCTGTTGCCATCATATCCACAATAAATTTAGTGTGCATCTCCTCAGACGTTCAGCTCTCAGCTTTCTGCAGTCATTCTTTCCCATTTATTTCTACCCCCTTCCTGGTTTGCCCACTCCACTCAACACGGTCCATGGAATTTTGTTCCTGCAAATCAACCTCAATGTCTGCTGTACTATTCATGACCCGCTTGCTCACATGGTTATATCGTATTAGAGGCAGACTTCGACAACTTCGACCCAAATGTAATTCATCATGGAGAGTGTCTTTAGGGAAGAGTCGTCTACGATCAAAGTATTCTATATTTACACATACCGATGGAAACAGCTGCTTTAAAAAAAAAAAAACATGTTAAAGTTCCAGAGATGTTCTTTTATAGAAATATTTTAAATTAAGAATTGACATTACAGCACTCGAGACATTTCCATAAGTGCTCAGTCCCCGTCTTCAGCAGCAAACGCCGAGTGATAATTCCGATGGTACAAGTTAACCGTCTGATTGTACATCCATCTCGTCTTTCCCCTGAGAGTTGAGCTTCGGCCAAATGCCTCGTCACTCCTTGCAGCACCATTCTTCTCAGACCGTGGTAATTCATCTATGCCTCCGCACTGTCCTCAGTGGGTCCTTAGAACATCCAGCTTAGCATGCATCAATCAGTTCATCACCCAGTTGTGTAGAACCAGTCAGTCTATATTTTGCGAAAATGACCATCAAGCGACGCAATTGCGTGTACAATGAACATAATACGACTAATTAAGGGGGGGGGGGGGAGAGAGAAGAAAAAGAACTCCGCAACGGGAGCATACACAGTAGTAGGTGAGTTCCTTCTTCAACAGTCTCGAGGGGTGGGCCGACCTGGGTTATGACTCCAGGCTGCGCTTATCGGACAAGGCGAAATGGTGGTTTTGCAACGGGTGCTGAGGTTATCGTGTTATATATCGTCTCTGCGGTAGCAAATTGTGCGCCCAACTTCACGACCAGAGTGCCAAATGAACGGTTGGTTCGTCGGACGGACCTTGGCAGCTGGCATAGTAACACGAGCAGACGTTGATCGGACACTTTGATTTTTAGGGATTCAAAGTTCTTTTCCACTAGGTGCCCGGGCCGGTCTACCATACCAAGGCTAACTCAGAAAGTGTCATTAGTTTGGTAGGGGCAAATAAAAACCTGGTTATCTGAACCGCCATAAAGGGACTTTGCACTGAATTTTTGGGGAGCAGTGCTGGGGCTACATAACCCCTGCTTTCTGTGACCCTCTGGGTAGTCAACTAGCAGTTCTACTTAGAGGGACCCGGCCGTTGGTAATTAAACCTTGTGCAGTAAAAGCCTCTCCTCTTCTTTTAAAACTACATACCCTTGTGATTTTAAATAGAGGTTTCTACTCGTTCATACTAAATGTAATACATAACAAACAAAAATGA